GATGCAAATAGGCGATGAGTACAGACGGATCTTCCATTCGAACGCCACACCACATGGGCAGACTGACTCTGAAATCATCAATACAGAAGATGCTCCGCTTACGCATACCCAAACCAGAGGCAAAACAGTATCTTGTGAAGACGCGCTTTTCGAAATCCGAAAGCTTTGTGGATATAGACGGCTATCCAACAGTGAAATTGAGGTGTTGGTTGAGTGGGCGGGTTTTCCTGTAGAAGACGCGACATTTGAGCCTGAAGATATCATTCAGCAAGATGCCCCAGAGGCTTTGTATGAATTCTGGAATGACCATGTGCAGTTTCCTGAGGGCCGTAGCCACGAACTATTTGTCAGGCACAAATATCCAGAGGAATACTTTGTGTTCAAGATACTGAAGTACCGAATGGAAGGCGGGAGGTCTGAATTTTTGATTCAGTGGGTTGGGTATTCTGAGGAGTCATGTGACACCACTTGGGAGAGCGAGCGGAAAGTCAGGGAACTTGCGAACGATTTAGTTGAAGAGTTCTGGAGCAAATCTGAGCACAGATTTTGAGGTCTTCTTGACAATGGCCTTCAAGGAGTAGCCATGTTTCAGCTTAGCATTACATTCTGGCAACCAATTCCATGCAAGACCTCCGAACACAATAATTTGCGAAAGAACAAACTTCACCTAGTGATCGGCCATAAAGCTACAGTGTTGTAAAAGGAAGCATATCTTTGATTTTACTTCATTCGGATTACAAATGATCACCAGAATCGTTGAAAATGTTACCGACTCCTGTTTGTGGCAACAATCATATAGGGTAATGCCTTGAATACAAGGTTTTCGCAGCCACTTTCCAGTGCAGCCGGGAAAACATTACTACCAATGAAACCCAAGACCGCGCAGGAACAGGCTGCGAGGTCGGAGAACAAGAGGAAGCGGAAAGTCAGGTGCTAGTGTAATCGGTTATTCCTGGTATGTGGTCGCGCAGGTCACAGCAGCTCAGTACCTGTACCTGACCTCTGCCGTTCTTGCCGGACTTTGAAGCCGAAGACTTAGGCTGGTCCGGTCTCCGGTGCTAACGACCCATGAGGGATAGGACCGGACGCCGGACGTTGGACGTTGGACAGTAAAGGAAATATTTGTATGCACTGTGATGAGTTCCTAAGCCATCCACCGTAACTGCTAATGCCCAACGCAGCCCTGTTTCCTGGACGTGGTGATCATGGACTAAGGGTTCACTGGGCAGTGGATCCACTTTGCTAGCTGTCCAAGACTTTGAACAACGTACCGAACGCCTCGAACCTGACAGAAGATGATTGTCGAGGCTGCCTGCTGGGAACCGATTCCATCGTCATCAAAATGGTAGGCGCAACAGAGGCGTGCCTATCCTTGACATTTGGGTCACATTGGCCATGGTCCATCTTACGGGATTAGAGACTGTCGAATTCTCTTGCTTCGGCAATAGCATCTACGCAGGTCCGGCAGTTGGCGTCAGCTACCGAAGGGAAGTGCTTGGTAGCGGACCTTTGCTGCAGAACCACGATTAGTTGAATGACGGTGTAGGGCATGCGGAGAAACCTCCATGTTCCTGCACGACTACAGCAGTGACCCGATGGCTTGGAAAATCCTGTCCTACATGTGACAGACAGCAGGGGTTTACGGGGAACGACCGACAAGCGATGGTCTCGCAAGAGGGCTATGCCAAGCAGAACGCATGGGTTAGGTGGTACAAAGACCGACAAGAGAAAGGACCGATGAGAGCAAGGCTGACAAGGCAAGAGAACGGTCTGAGGGCTGACCGGAGGTTTGTGTCTGGTGGATATGACGCTGAAGCCAGGCCATCGATCTGGTCGGGAAGGTGATACGGCGACTACTCATAGTGGGTATCAGAGGACGGTGACCTGTCAGTAGTTCTGTACATACCTAGACGGCCTCCATGGTCAGACGATCGTGGATTTGGGGGGAGTCAAGGGCGGACAAGATCAGCAGTCTACAGGGTACGGGGCACCATAGATGAGAGCCATGCAGCGTTGTGTGCAAGAAGCTCACAGAATTCGAAAGATGGTGATCGAAGCAAGTAGGACCATCTGACGCAATGTGACTGGCGGGAAACATGGGACAGGCGTCGAGAAGGAAGGCGAAGCTGGAGGCGGTGGGATCAGTCGTGATCAGTTGTAAGAATGTGTGATGATAGCCATGGAGTCAGGCCAGGGGAGTGCTGAGGTCAGATGATGGTAAGGACTCATGGGAAGAAAGAACTTGAAAGCCGAAAGACGAAGAGGAATAATCTCACGAGTGCTTGGCGAGATAGCTGAGTAGATCGCGCAGGTAGTCAAGGTAGTCGAGGTAGTCTTGCAAGTGCCCACGTACATAGCTATACATTCGCAGAGTAGCCTGCAGAGACGAGAACCAACACTGTGTGATGGAGGCAGATCAAGGCGGTGCCACGGCAATTCGGCAGTCGTGGCCACCATCGTCATGGCAGAAGGCCAAAGTACATTAGTCACGGCGTCCCTGGGTATGTGAGTCAGCCACGGGCAGCACAGTAACGTTGGAAGAAGTCTAGCGCAGGAAGGAGCCAGGGGACGAAGGGAACTCGAGAGGCAGCGCAGCAAGGTAACGGGTACGGACAGCGAGAGAAAGCCATGGAAGAGGAAGCGGAAGAGGGAGTGGAAGGTGCAGTGGAATGGAAGGACAAGAGGAAGCAGAATGGAAGAGAAGTAGAGGGACTCGGGCAGATGCTACTGACAAGGAGGCTCAGTCGGCCTCCTCTGTGCTGCCTCACTAATGACGGGAACCGTCATCAGGGGATGTCCGCAAGTCGCCGCGCAGTGGGATTCAAGTCCGTATCCTGGACGGTCAATAGAAGCGCTGGCCAAAGGTCAAATTCTTGGTCCATCAAATGTCAACCATGTGAAGTCACATTAAGCTCAAGCGGCACTGGGTCAGAATGGATCCTTGGGGCTGAACCGTCCCATGGCTGTAATCGGCTGCGGGGCATGCCCTGGGTCATGGGATCGAACCATCCCATAGCTGCAATCCGCTGCGGACCGAACCATCCCTTGGCTGCCATCTGCGGGGCATGTCTAGGAACTAAAGTCACTCCAGCTGGCGGGATCAAACTACCGAACTAGCCCAAAGTCCGTTTCACGTTTCACGCGTCTGCGACCTGATGGCTGGAAGGGACACTTCAGATCCGAGATTTCTGTTCCCGTGCTGAAGTGGATCCATGACTGGTTCGGGACTTGGTCAACAATTGTCTTCAGGTACTGTAGACTGAGTCTGATTCGTGCATTGCCTACAACGTGATGCACTTCAGGTCGAGAATGAGCGACCGAAAGAGGTAAAGAAACGGACCATGGCGCGTCGACCAGGAAGTGGCCGCACGCGTTGAAATGGCCTGGAACTGTTGTTGTAGGGTGACTAGAAGCATGGCTAGAGCGAGTTTAGTCCATGGCGCGAACCTCCAGCGGTTGCAATCGACTGTGGGGCATGATCTGGCGCAGGCACGGAAGGTTGCCTGCAGCCTACAGCCACTAGGGCGCCATCCGTCCACTGGCAGCTTGGGCCACAAATCCTGCGGGCCGTAATTCGACTGCAGGTCGTGGCAGGAAGTCGACGTCCATAGCGAAACTCGTCCGTTCTCCGGCACGAACCAAAGTGTCTTTTGCCACCTTCATTCAAATCGTGTCGGTCGGTCACAAGACGCTTCCCGAAGCGCCTGCATTTCCCGTTCTCAACCTGTCTGTCAAGAGCAGCTCCACGTCGTATCACAAGCCGACAAAGGACACTTCTGTAGACTAACGCGGCCGAATTATCGGTGGCTGGAATTGTCCATGACTCCTCGCGTCAAGCAGGCCGCTGGAACCGCAAACGAACAAATAGGAACACGCCCTGAAATGAGGTCGGTCCATCTGTAGAGTGACCAAAAGGTGCACAGTATCTGGCCTTGCCATGCCGCTGGTTCTACACCTCGGCAAGGACTGAAGATTTCAGTGGTGCAGTACAGTATGTATGCTGCAGCGCAATCTCTTCCCTTTTCCTTCCGTGGTGAGCCTCTTTAAGAACAGCTTATACACGCACAGATGTCCGCAAACACCTAAGACATAGAACACTGTACTCCATTCGATCGACCTAGACCAGAAATCAGGATGGATAATGACAGTAACAACATTACATATATGGCAGCAGCGGCCCGTAACTATTTTCTTGGGCAATTCAACTCGGCGCAGGTGCATCGTCCGAGCCAAGTCCATGAGCGTGGTAACGTCAATCACTGTCAGGATATCATGTCAAACTATGACTGGGCCCTGTGGCAATCTCGGCGCACTCTGACTAACCTGATCCGCCACATCTTTTACGACGTTCACAAAAGCCTAGAAGGTCGGCATGAGGCTATAGCCCGTATGGAGCTGCTGTCGCTCGCTGGGCGGAGCTATGACCCAGCCTCTCCTCCATCCAAGAAACGGGCCTCGAAACACTTGAGCCAGTGCTGCGCATGTCAGCAGCGGATGGGTTGTTTTCTGGCTTTTGCGCATCGACACTGCCAATGCGTTAGTCTCCCGGCATTCAACATTATTTTTGTTTCACTGACATGTGATACTAGATCGTCTGCTCAGAGTGCGCCACTAGGCGGTATGCATTTTGCAGGGTCGGCGATCATGCCATATCCTATGGACTTCAAGAAATGGTCAGAAACAATGAACAACAGCGGCATGGATGCTGAGAGTTGCATCAAACTGGCCTTATACACAACAGTCACTAGATGGCGGTCACTATCAATAGTTACATAACTGAATGAAGTCGAGATTGAAATTTGATCACTCTTTATTTGTCATGTGCATGAAATGATCCAACTGATCCCTTCTCCCACCCTCGCGTCCTCCCACCCTCACGTTTAGTGTTCGCGCTTGCCCTCCTACTACAGCATCTAGTACTACACCGCTTGAGTGATGAGCCTCAAGCGGGTTCCCACCTCCCATTGCATGGCAATCCATCGGATGATAATCAACAGTAGTTATTCAATCTTGTAGGAGAACTGGCGATTCTGTTCCTTCGGCCTATCATCGTTAATCATCCTCCGTTTCTGCAGTTCGCCCTGGTTGACGAAATTGACATGGTAGAGAAATTTCGCTACACAGTCTTTCATATGTGCTGACAGTGAGGGGTGCTGCTTTGGAATCATCGTCTCCCCTGTGCTTATATTCCTAGCCACCCACGACTCCAGCAGGTATACACCAACCCAGCAGCCAATGAAGATTTGTGGCCCATACGCAATGCCTGAGTCGTGCATGGCCAAAAGACTCCCAATAAACATGACCGCGGTGTATACGTCTCTGTATGTAGGCAGAGCCTTGAGCTGACTCGCCGCCCAAATCAGGATCCTCGCGTAGGATGCCGCAGCATTGATCTTGATCGTTGCTGCATGCAAAGCGGGGAATCCAAGAAAGACCGAGCAAAAGGAAATAACCAGCCGGATCAGCATCTGCGCATGGAAAACGGGCTGCGCAATGTTCTTATGACCAGCGTAGTGCCCTTCCTTGACTAGATAATGGCTCGTCCATGAGTGGAAAGCCATCACCGAGAAATCAACATACGTGGGGTTGGCGTGCTGCCCATCCTTGAGGATCGAGACCCAGTAGTATAGGATCTCGATGTTTGGGATGATGATATGGAGGAACAAGATGGCACTGGAGGGTTTTCGCAGTCGCTTGGCAGCACGCTTGACAACGTGTATGGTATGTTTCTGAAAGACAATGAAGGTTGCAGCCAGCGCTGGTACATGCTCCAGGGTTGTCCACATTGTCAACGATCAGCAACAGAATTTACAGACGAAGGTGAGATGAATCTAGCAGATTGTTGTATAATATTCTGTCGTTGAAGGCTGAACTTATACTGCTTGCCATTATGTTGGATTGATATGGACCGTAAGTGTGGCCGAGTAGCTGTCGTGGTCCGAAAGTATCGCAAGACGTTTACATAAGCGTACGTGAAGCTGTAAGCTGGACCAATTTTGATCATAAGGACGGTGGACTGTACTAAATATACTCTACATATCACAATTGTGGCCTACTGGAACCAACCTTTTATTGCCGCGCTCCTGCAGTGCAGTACCTGAAAATTTCTACGACAAGGCATTCATGAGCCCATTTTGGAACTCTCTGTGCCACCATTACTTTGGCATCCACCAGTTACTAGTAGTCATAGTTGTGAGCTGCTGAATATGGACCGCCCTCGCACCGAAGTCTATGTAAACCTGATCTTTCTCACGCTTGAGTCTTTTGACGCGCCCACGCTCTCAATATTCTGAACAGAAAACCTGCAGAGATGTCGAAGCTACGGCGCCTTCTACCAGCACCCAGCAGCGCCACGGATTCGGCAGTCATCAAGTTGTCCCCTTCCGACGAACCCATCTCATCTCAATTGCAGGCCGCGGGCAAAACGGAAGCGAATGTTTCGGCCTGTCACGCCAATGTTTTGGAGTATCCTGAAATACTCAACACAATGATCGGTGAATACACACATCAAAGCGGTACTAGTACGGGTCAATCACAGTCCGAATGCTACACATCTGGAGATAGGCCTACTGCCGCGCTATCGTATCCACTGGCTACTCATGATCGAATATGCTATAAAAACGGTGAGCCACCATCTGTGATGAAGGTGAATTGATTAAACCCTTCAAGCCGCTGGTTTGCAGATGCTCGCCTGATATCCGTGGCCCCACATTGCACAACGTTGCTGAAAGCTGCGGAGAGTCGTCTTGCATGCTGAGAATACCTTGAGAATTCTTTTGACTTTTATGCAGAACCGGAAGTCGAGTTTCAACTATCGGAAACAGAAAATCGAACGGCTGGTTTTACCAGAAAGCGGGCTTACGAGCATCTGTCGTTGAACCCCGCCGAGAGACTGGTACCGCAACCGAAGATGCAACGACTCTTCCTCGACGCTGAGGGGAGCAGCGAAGGTATACGGAGTTGTCAATTGGCTCGAGGCGCCTTGAGTTATACTGGCCACGATATTGACAACCGTCGTCAAACACATTCCACGATACCCGACTTTCAGCTTCTCGACTACTATTCCAATCTGGTCGATACCAACCCTTACCAGCTTTCCGCACCCGATGATCTCAACGGCGAATACATTAATCCTCGTACGGCATTTAGACAGGTACTACCTTACGCGCAACTTGACACTTCATCCTCCGACATGTATGATGCACTTCCATCGACGCCCGGTTCCGTCGACGTGCATGGCACCTGTGCGCGGCCGCTCGAAAGCCAGAGGACGACCACCCTTCAGATCGGCAATGATTTATGGGTGGACTTTGGAGATTATTTAGTTCCTACGAACTCTGACGATCGTTACCTGATATCTTCACCCCAAAATAGGGTCGGAGAGGATGCGATTCCAAGTCCGGAAATGACGCTGGTAGGACCTTCGGAGCTTGACGGAAGCAATCCCACGGATAGCACCATGGAGGCGACTGTAAGAATGCCAGAGGACAGGGAACAGTCGAGTTCGCACATGGAGCGATGGGTGGCACGGCCAAGACTGTTGGGAATGTTTCTGCTTGTAAGGATGCCAGCGTACATGACGCCGTGGAATAGGCTGAGGCGAGGGTGTTGAGTATATTCCGCCAATTCCCCAAAAAGTATGGAGTGGCATCGTTGCGGATGTATCAGAGGAACGAGTCATTTCTATTATATACCAGTCTAAGATAATACACTTCAATCTAACCATTGCCAGACCACTTACTTGAATACAGTGTCTTTATGCCCCCGAATGTCGCTAAGGCGCGTGTAGTATCTTGTGTACTTGGAGAAGGACCGCATCAGCAGCAACCAAATGAGTCGCACTGCCCGATAGGATTCAACGAACAAGCCCCGCGGATGAGAGTCAAAGGGCGGCTTCCCTAGAGCTTGGAGATGCCCCGTGTCAACCTCGGCCTTCCTGTGCTTCTGTCTGGCGATCGATGTATCTCGCAAGAACCTCTGCCAGGTGCTCTTGCGGCCACCCGAGGGGCGAAAAGTTATCCGAAAAGAAGTTTCCATAGGACACGGTATCCAAAAAGTGAAGCGGCAATACCTTTGCTGGACACTCAATCATGATACATAAGATCACTTCAGGAACAACCAGAAGAGGGCTGTATCCATAAAGGAGCCGTTTTGTTCAGGAAGTTTCTGCTTACACAAGCAATACTGTTCTATAGCTACAGTATGGGTTGCCCTGATCGTAGAAATAGCTATTAAACATTAAATTACCGCTGCTGCTTAGACATATCATCACTTAACCCCAAACCTCTATTTCAGATAGGAGTTCACCTTAATAAAATCGACAGCGCAAAAAGGTTGCCACTGGCTCGTTAAAGCACTTGATTATATCTCTTCTACTCTTTCCCCAAACTATGCGGCAGGCCAAGACCGATACTACAAAGCAGGATGGGGCGTACGGTGGAAGTGATAGGATTACGGGAGATGGTCACGACGGTAGGGCTGGCAGGGCCGTTCATGCTGAGTCATCTGCAGCGGATGATGTATGCCCTGGATGGTGGGCTTTAGAATGGACGTTCGAAGAAGGCCAAAAACAAGAGCAGCAGAAATCCAAAGCGTCAAAGGCGTGGACCTTTCGTGGGTTCAAGTCGCAAAACCAAGGATAGTATGAAGCCTGGCGGTGGGCGTACGCAAAGGAACTCATTAGCTGCCCTCACGTCTATCGACAAGGTGATAATCGGCTCATTCGCAAATACAAGGCCTTGAATCTTCTTTGCTCCTTGTGGTGCTGAGTTGCTGAAGCGACACGCGATCGGGACGATGATGAGAGCACCGTGGATTAAGTGATTGAAATAGGTAACCGGAGAGCCCGATGATATGACATCTTAACTAGCCGTCAGCTACCAGTCTCTGCATATCGTAGAATGTCGAGGTCTTGCAGTCCAAGCGTCTGACCACGGAGCCGAGCACTGCCTCATAATATCATTGCCCGTGAGGGCCAGGGCACGATCATCGGCACGCCTCCTGAGGTCATCGCCCAGTCCGCGCAGCGCGTCGGCGGCGCCGCTCTCGTTACCAACCTTAGATGACTGCCTGGATCACGACGCTCTCAACGCCATCGCTCGTCACGCCGTTGAGGGGTATGAGGGTTAGAAGCCCATCAATGTTCCTGGCGATTGGAAGTGGGCGCTTGGAGCAGGCGCTATGCACTGCTTAGCACCAAGAAATAGTGTGAATCGTGAAAAGTATGACACTGTCAACATGAAATGAGGAAGAATAGCACGTAAATTGCCCTGTGGCCTGTGGCTTTTCAAAGTGCGTCGAAAGCGCCGGCCTCATTTAACCAGCGGTCTGTAGCCACCAACCAGCAATACACCCACCCAGCCGCCTATACTCCCTTATCTTCCGCAATGAAACGCCCCCGCATTGCCGAAACTTGATCGCCTCGTTGGTCGTAGACAAAAACCACCATCCAGCATATCGTTGGCTCTCTGGCGCGTACTGGCAGCTAACCTCAACGTTTCGGCGGTGTCGCGTTCAAAGTCCCGAAGTCCAAGCTCACTACTAATGGGATGAATCAAGGACGTGACGTATGCTAGCCGGAAACACGGGTTGTGGGGAGAACGAGCCGCCGGCGAGTCTTTCCCAACTCGTCGCGAAATCATCCCACGGTATAATGCGTCGAGGGTATATTCGGCCGGTCGGGTTGGACGTCTCCCCTTTTACGAAGGCCTCAGCATATGAGCCTAACATGCGAGATGGTGTGCCCATCTCCATCTTCATGCTAATAGAGGACAAGTATTCAATTTACGTCTCCACGAGAGTTTGCGACGCTACGCGCAGAGGGTGCAGTGTGATCTCGGTGCAATGCAGGCCTCTGGTAGCAGGCTGCCGGTTTATATCGATACGGGTTTGAATTTCACGCATTTGAGGTTGACAGACCTCTTCAACATGTGGACGTGTCCTGTGAATGAGCGGTTTGGGCGCTGTGATGTCACGTCAGAATCCACTGCTGATCCGACATTTAGCACTACCCTGGAAATTATGATCTGTTGGGTCTTTGACTTTCAGTCTGATTATGATTTCACGGTCCTCCACCCCTTCCCCCAAATTTGTTTCTGAATTTCAGCGTGTGGTACTCTCTGATCTCCATTATACCAAAAGTGGCCGTCGTAAATCCACCACGCCATTTCAACATGTTTCTGGCTTTGATCGTAATCTTTCCTGCCATCTTTCGGCTGGATTAACCTTATAATTTCTGGCTACCAGGCTCTTCAGGTCCGTACATTTACCGCATGGCGCATCATCTCTTGAGGGAGGCGAGTCTTTGAGAGATGTCTGATCTGTCCGTCACTTTGCTTCACCAAATTGGCGGCACCGCCACCAGCCAGTTCAAGATGCAACCGTGAATCCTTCGCTTTTGAGGGGCACTGCTGACAGCCAGACCAACAAACGCAGCCTTTCGCAGAATCTGTTTCTAGTTCTCACTACCAACATCAAAAAAGAACACCCACTCTGCATGGCACGCACGACGTTCAAAGTCCAGGACTTGGGTCCGCTGGGGCTTAGAAGTAGAGACCATCAGACATGGGCGGGAAGCCCGGTCAGGCCAAGGGAAAGGATACGCGGTCAGCTACGCAAGCCCTGGACAGATTCCGACGAGCGACATCTCAGAGTGTCTATGAGAAGAAAAATTGGTTGGGCTCAAATCGCACAACAGTTGAACCGCACTCCAGGTGCTGTCGAGCAGCATTGGAGATTAATCAATCATGATGACAAGACGCGCCGGCGCAGGTCTCGGGCTACGGCAACATCTGCCTGAGAACCTATTACCAAAATGTGGATAGAAGCTGTTGTACTCATACAATAAGAGTTGTTTCCAATCATGGCATCTGTTTTTCCTCATGTAGAATGTTTACTTGTCCTTGTCTTCTTCCTACGTAGATAGAGAATAAAACGTCCGTACCATAGCCAATCCGTCCTGAATTCACGTCTTGGTGATTATGTACTGTACCGGTCATTGCTTCAAATGAGTTCCCTCGGGCAAGCGTGCCTGTGTAGTGTGATGCTGCTTGTAAGTCTCATTCCTGCCCTTGCGCTTTGTCGTCAAATGCACACGCCCGAGTGCTGTAGGTCTGCTTGTGCTGCCTTACAATGACAGGAAATTTCATCAGGGCATGTCCACAAGCGGCCGCGCAGTGGGATTCAAGTCTGTAGAGTGGACGGTCAAAAGAAGCGCTGGCCAAAGGTCAAATTCTTGGTCTACCGAATGTCAAGCATGTGAAGTCCGATTAAGCTCAAGCGACACTTGGCCAGAATGGATCCTTGGGCCTGAACCGTCCCATGGCTGCAATCAGCTGCGGACTGAACCATCCCTGCTGTCATCTACGGGGCGTGTCTGGGGCTAAAGTGACAGGTGATTCAGAGAGTGCTGTAGTCTAAGTCCGTGGGGCTGCAATTGCCTGCGGGGCCTGATCTGGCGCAGGCACGCAAGGTTGCCTGCAGCTGATTACAGCCACTGGGGCGCTATCGGGTGGCAGCTTAGGCCACAAGTCCTGCAGGCCGTAATTCAACTTCAGGTCTTGGCAGAAAGTCGACGTCCAAAGCGAAACTCCTTTTGATCACTCTCCAGACGGACCGACCTCGTTTCAGAACGTCTTCAGACGAACGTGACGCGGCTGTACGGATGTGGTCACGAAGGGCAGGTTCTGGCACGGCGGCTAAGGGCGATTCGACGCTCGCAAGCAAGCAATCTTTTCGTGCCCCTCCCACGACTGGGTGTAGTCGTGTCGACAAGATACCTGCATGCTGCCAGAAGGCAGGAACAATGCCCAGAGCAGCGCCAGGCTCCTCTCCTGGCACACCGGTGATAAGCGCCGGAAACCGGACGACGGCAAATGACACTCCCGTTAGCGTCGGAGACCGGACGAGGATTTCTCAATGCTATGCCGTCGCCACGAAGTCGAGTGGACGCGAGAAGAGTTGGAGAAAGGCCTCATTTAAGGAAACCAGCCTATCGCCTGGGGTCCCAGTGAACAGAAGTCTTGCAATACCGAAGGAGACCATGGTAGTCTCGGGAGAAAGCCGCTGCGCAATATGGCCGGCACTTGAGATATGAATCAACAGGATCTTGTATATAACATCTCACCGCAACCCCACGGATCAGGGTGGAAGAGACATAAGAATACATCGATGCAAGTGATTATTTATGATGCTTCATAGGACAAGTGCACTTGGAAGCCTCCCAAGAGCTCTGGGCAGAGAAGCTAATGTATCTGGGCCATTGCACTGGCTGGCCAAGCTCGATTGTTTTTAAAAAGCGAATAATACTGGCAGAATCCAAGATATTGAGGTAGGCAATGTATATGATATGGTGCTCGGCAACATGTTGATAAGTAGGAGCCAGCACAGGTTGATACAGACTAGGTCAAAGGAGGCTGAGGCTCCAAGCCCATGAGGGCAGCTACTACGTTCCTTTGCGTATGCCCACCGCTAGTCTTCTTACTATCCTTGGTTTTGCGACTTGAACCCACGAAAGGTCCACGCCTTTGACGCTTTGGATTTCTGCTGCTCTTGTTTTTGGCCTTCTTCGAACGTCCATTCTAAAGCCCACCATCCAGGGCATACATCATCCGCTGCAGATGACTCAGCATGAACGGCCCTGCCAGCCCTACCGTCGTGACCATCTCCCGTAATCCTATCACTTCCACCGTACGCCCCATCCTGCTTTGTAGTATCGGTCTTGGCCTGCCGCATAGTTTGGGGAAAGAGTAGAAGAGATATATAATCAAGTGCTTTAACGAGCCAGTGGCAACCTTTTTGCGCTGTCGATTTTATTAAGGTGAACTCCTATCTGAAATAGAGGTTTGGGGTTAAGTGATGATATGTCTAAGCAGAAGCGGTAATTTAATGTTTAATAGCTATTTCTACGATCAGGGCAACCCTGAACAAAAAGGCTCCTTTTTGGATACAGCCCTCTTCTGGTCGTTCCTGAAGTGATCTTATGTATCATGATTGAGTGTCCAGCAAGAGTATTGCCGCTCTACTTCTTGGATACCGTATCCTATGGAAACTTCTCTTCGGACAACTTTTCGCCCCTCGGATGGCCGTAAGAGCACCTGGCAGAGGTTCTTGCGAGATGCATTGATCGCCAGGCAGAAGCATAGGAAGGTCGAGGTTGAGACGGGGCATCTCCAAGCTCTAGGGAAGCCGCCCTTCGACTCTCATCCGCGGGGCTTGTTCGTTGAATCCTATCGGTAGTGCGACTCATTTGGTCTCTGCTGAAGCGGTCCTTCTCCAAGTACACGAGTAAGCTACTACACATGCTGCAGCGACATTCGGGGGCATAAATACACTGTATTCAAGTAAGTGACCTGGAAATCGTTACATTGAAGTGCATTATTTTAGACTGGTATAAAATAGAAATGACTCGTTCTTCTGATATATCGCCAACGATGCCACTCCATACTTCTCGGATAATTGGCGGAACATACTCCAGAGCCTCGCCTCAGCCTATTTCGCGGCATCATGTACGCTAGCATCCTTACAAGCAGAAACATTCCGAACAGTCTTGGCCGTGCTACCCATCGCTCCATGTGCGAACTTGACTGTTCCCTCTCCTCTGGCTTTCTTGCAGTTGCCTCCTTTCCGGCTGCGATCAAGTTCATCAATTTCGAACCCGTCCGCGAGACTCCTCTTGATGCCTTTATGAGAACCTCCCGAAAGCAACAACTCGACCTGACGGTCAGGTAGAACTCTGGAATTCAGAAATGAATTCAGAAATGAAGGCTGAGAGTGATCAACCAGATCAAAAGCCACATGCTTGTTGTTGATCTCCCGCTTGACTTGTCCGGTTGGCGACGCCATCGGCAAAACTCCACATACCCCAGGAGCGGGAAGAAGTATCTGTCGGTCGTTCTCGGTGGTGTCGCGACGTGGCTGGGACGGGAAGGAGACGCGGTCACCATCCCATATCTCTAGAAATTTGTCAAATATCTCAGACATTTCTGTATCTGGAAGTCTTGAAAACTGATATGCAGCTGTGTTTTCGGGAACGTCTCGAAACCAGATGCCATTCAGTGTCGAAGGCCAGTCTTGAGAAATGCAAATCGGTTTAATGGTTTCAAGCGGGCCAAAATTGATGGTGGTCAATGAGGCATCTAGCAAACCACCATCAAGGAGCATCATGGTGGAAGCTGGTGGTGAGACGGTAGCAGAAAGTAAAGAAATGAAACCCCTAGCACGGTGACCTTTCGCCTTATATAGGAATACGAGCATCCCAAGCCTCTAGCCCCTGACCATGCTCTCTCGTCTGTACCGATAGTAGACTCAGCTCCAGCCAAGGGAGTCCTCAGTCGTGACTGGACCCGAGATAAGCCGAGCTGGAGTCAGGGGCCTTGTTCCTCCCTCCTGGCCCATGGAGTCTCTCGTATTGCTTGTGACCCCGTAGCTCCGGGTGATGAACCCCTGGCTGAGCAGAGCACGTGTACTGGTACAGGGCACGTTGACTGGTGGAACACCAACCCAGGATGGGCTGGAGCTCGCAATCGACCATCTCTGGCGCCGACGCTTGTATCTGAGTGCGATGAAACCTGTCAATCCGCCACAGGCTCCAACAGCAGCCACCGTGGCAGCAGCGATTCCAGCTGTTCTTCCCCGATCTGCAGCTGTCTGCGTGCCGGACGAAAGGCTATTGCCGAACGCGTCAACAACAGATGCCGTCGAGGTGGCACTGTCTGAGGATGGAGCCGCATTCGTACGATGCTTGGAGGTATTAGCTTTGTTGTTGGTAGATCCTGTAGACCTTGTAGTTTTAGACAAATGGGTCAAATCGCTAGACCCATTAAATGAGGAGGACCTGGCACTAGCAATCTCTGTGATTGCCTCTGCTGTTGGTGATGCCAGCCCCTCGAGCTCGAACAAGGCGGATGATGCCCGGGTCTGGTCTCCAGTGGTTTTGATTGACTTCTCACTAGTAGGCGTAGCGATGGGGGCGGGAGATGCCATGGTGGCCGGCTCAATTATATGGATAACAGCCGCTGTATCAGACTCCAAGACAGTATTGCTCGGCAAATTCAGCGCGGTGACGGGGCTCATTGTAGTGCGCGATGTCCATACAACTCTATGATAGGAGCTACTTATTATTGGCGGAGACTGTAAAGTTGGGTTCGATGGTAGATCCATTGATAGGCTTGGAATAGTTTCGAGCGAGGCGGCGGATGGATTGAAGTCAGCTGTCTCGCCGTCTGCAGCCATAAGCCAGCCATTGTCGGTTGAAAGTGGCGTCGATGTTATAGCGAAGCTAGATACCATAGCCTGGTATTCGGCACTTCCTGGCTGTCCGGCCGTTTTAATCGATCTGGATAGAGTTGAAGCAATTTGAGAAGGACTGACTCCTTGGCCTGATCTACTAGGGTGATATAGGGCTACACTCTGGTCATACGTGACAAAATAATTTGAATGATCGTCCGTACCTGTTACGTGAGTTAATGTTGATGACACGCGGCCGAAATCCGTGGTGTCAACCATCCACAACGTCGCATCAACCGTGCCAGAATATTCTGTCGATTCCGGCAGAACTGAGGGAGACTCCGATGCTTGAGAGCGCGAAAGCTGATTCAGATAGCTTCCATGGTCAACCGTGCTCGCTGTCGTTGTAAAATGTGTTTCTACACTGCCCTGCGCAAAAGTATGTGTGTTTCCGGTGTAGGAAGGCACAGAAGCCGTGGTAACCGTAGACCCTTTTGGATTGTCTGTCGTTTCTGGAAACGAAACGTCGCTACTCTGCGTATAGTCTTCTAGATCTGTTGTCGAACGGCTTGTCACACTCCACTGTTCTTTTGATGAAGCCGTACGATTCATGAAAGCTCGTCTAGAATATATTGCAAGACGAACTTGACTGGAACTCGAGTTGGCGTTACAATTGGAATACAACAGGAGGATTAGGAGTAGCGATCTCCACTTCATCTTGATGGTAAGTGGTTTTGTTGACAAGAGATGAATAGAGGTGGATAGTTGGCAGCACCGGCGAAGGTTGCCATCTCATTGAAGTTGGGCCTCTCCGATGGGATGACCATGCCCTGCAATGGCTTGTACTGTCACATATGGACAGCGTATCAGAAAAAATACTGATACATCCAAAATTGAAGCCTAGGCATGCTCCAAAATCAGAGCTGTAGCCTAAAACCCCACAGCTGACTATATATCAGGTTTACATTTGGACGAGTCAAATGTTCATAAATCTCTACTGCCACGCTGCCGTCATGGTACGGCTTCTTGTTACTTTTCAGTCAGCTACCGTACCGTAGAGCATCCCTGCGATCTCAAGGTCTGAATGAAGCTCCCACGGTCGGATAGCAGTGTCCATGACGGCGACGTGGTAAAAACGAGCTGGTCCTCAAATGTAATCGTATTACGCATTTTGTACACAGTGACGACTTCACGCTACGCCTTCCATGGCGTGTTGGCCAAGAATCTCGACTGGTCTGCTCAAGATGAGCCAAACAGTGATGAACTACTATGGGTTTACAACATTGCCGGGCAGATATCCCTCTGGCAGGAAATGCGACAGCGCCCGAAAGCTGGCGCGGAGTTTACCGACCATGAAATCCAAGAGATTATCGGCCATTACGAGCTCGAGGATGGCCGCCTGTTCTATGCGATCAAGTGGGCGGGGTACGAGTGCCCTACGTGGGAGCCGGAGGGGAGTCTTGGGGCGTATAAGGAAACTATACTCGACTACTGGCTCTCATTGTCATACTAGATTGATCCAGGTCTATATCCGGTGGAAGAGCTAATTGAGTCTCAGTGTAGGTGTGGGACGGTAAGAGCTAGTCGCGAGCCATTCATTGAGGCCTGAACTGGTTAAGTACAGATATGGCCATTCTGTGAGATTTTGAAAGGGTATTTCTAGAAAGTCTTCGGAGCACCAGTGTTTGTCTCTAGCATTCTTGTAGGCAAATAACCGCAATTATCAACCCAGAAACTAAACTCTGCTACCGCGCATCGGCCTTGTATACATGATCACCGTCTGATCCGCCACGGCAAGATGTCTCTCCACCGGAAGCCAGGCTTCCATCGTGGTTGCGACCTCGTTGTAGCACGCGCCTATCCTCTTGTAACCATCAATGGGTATCCCGAGTCCGACTATGAGAAGGTTCAACAGACAGGAACTGGATGGATTGGTGTGCCGTGGCGGGACCGAGGCCGGCTGGTGCAGGTCGAGCACGCCTCCCACGTGACAATCACCGACTTCGAGAGTCTCGTCAACCTACGCCACTTACACGTTGCACCGTTTCTAGGGTTATACTACAATAGGACTTCAACAGACATCGTTTATGAACGCCTCGATCTTGACCTGTTGGACATCTGCCCGCTCGCGTCCGAGGCTGAAGTCGCCAGTGTGCTTGCTCAGGTTCGCGCACTTCTCCCCCAGGACTGTTCATATAGTAGAGATTCACGCGTGTGCAGATGCTGTCAGCAATCACGCACCTCTTGTCGTCACCAGTAGATGTACGAATCGCTTCGGTAAGAATTTCCATGTTTGGACTTGTCAAGTTAAGTACGCATTTCCGGTTGACCGTGTCGATGTTCTTCGTCGTCTCAGCCACCCGACATCATCCACAGGAACGTGATGCACCGCTTCATGGTGTCATACATAGAGCAAGTGGCCAAGGTGGCATGTCCTCGTTCCCATCACTTTTGGTCACATTACAGCACTAGGGCGTGTGCATGTGGACACGAGAGCACAAGCGTAGGAATGAGACAGGCGAGCAGCATCACACTACATACAAGACAGGCGTGCTTGCCTGAGGAAGCCAATTTCTGAAGAAATTACCAGAACTGTCATGTATGAGTCTAGAAACTATAGCCGAAAACACTTCGATCATTCGCCAGCTGAGGTCAACCTGCAAGTCTACTAGCACGTGTCCTACTTTAGCATGAACCCGGCTACAGAGTCAGGCCATGACATTAATAGGTACCAGAAATAGTGGCGCTCACAACCCTCGATTCCTATTTCAGCATTGGTTTATAGAAATCTGCCCAAAACAGATCTTCCTCGCGCGGGGATGTTCCAGTTTATACCTCACCGTCGCTCAAGCAAGGTCCGAAAGCCCTCTTCAGCTGCTCAAGTATGGCTTCACGCAAACGCATCGTTCCGAGGTTCTTGAATGCCGACAGATGTTCTACATGACATTTCGCAATTTGCCGCCCCTCCTTTCCAATTCGGTAGCATAATTTGCTTTGTTCGTCAAAGTACGCACATACTTCGTGTCCCTTCCTGTGATCCCCTGAACCATTCGTATGAGCAATTGCCATACTTTTCCGGATTATTTCGAGTGGGATGAAAAGTCTTTTTCTGCGCGATTTCAGCTTCGTTTGCTTCAGTCTTCCCCTTATTCTTTTCGCCACTGGGGGTCGGACAGTGGGCTGAACCCTGTTTTCATGTGGATGTTGAACAGATTTTTGTCGAGATCGAGTACCCAGATAAATGACTTCTTCAACTGGATTCTTGACCATGACGGATATGGGACGTAGTATGACAGTTGCTAGGCACGGCCGATCTGGTAACGGAACTGGTGAATATTGTTGGCAAAGCTCCTGCACACCGTTGTCCGTTGGGCAGGGGGATAATGAGCTACCCTTGCTAGAGCACCGCTATAGGCATGTGTGACAAGGGTCTTACAACCAGCTCTCACCCCAAATTTCGGATTTGTGGCGGGCCAAATCAGAGCAGCAACTTCGAGGCGCTGAACATCTGTTGCAAGGAAAGGGATTTGTTTGAGTGTTGGTACAGTTGATTGATGAGGCAAGAATGAATGCGTTAACAATGGAAACTGTGGTCGTGCCGCTAAAACAGGGTGACCAAAAGCAAAGAGGCCGTCGCACGTGACATGAGGGGGTGAGCAGCTGTGGCGTGCTCTAACATGAGGCCATACCAGATCCTTTCTTTCAGGGTGTGCCTGATAAAGAAGATCACCATCTTATTGATCTAGTAAGGTCCTGAGCCGATCTTCTTGGCTTCGTCGGGAATCTGGATTCGCGTCACAGATGCACAGCCTCAGCATGGCGACAGCCATGTGCAGGTCTAACTAGACATGAGTCATAGTATTTATTGCCAAGATACAGTGAGCAGGGATAGCGGTGATTACACAATACAATAGGTGGCCACAGCGCGCCAAAACACTCAAACCAGTCGACAATTTTCTCAGGTCCAAATGGTGATAAACCACTAAGCGATTGGTTTGATTGCTTGCGAACTGGTCACGGTTTGGATAGTTAGACAGTACCTAGTTTCACAAGTCCAAGAATGGAGACCTTCATCGATGCGATTCGTAGATCTACTTATAATGACAAAAGGTGTGTGATTGCTGATATCATCTGGACATGCCTGTATTTCTGCTATATGGACATTCCTAGGGGAGAAGCGCACGAATCTTAGCAAGCACGATGGCGACTTCAGCCTCGGACGCGAGCGGGCAGATATCCAAGAGGTCAAGATCGAGGCGTATAGACGATGTCTGTTGAAGTCCTATTGTAGAATAACCCTAGAAACGGTGCAACACGTAAGTGTAGCTGTACCTTGTCCGATGCTAGTAGCGCTGCGGACAGCTGTGCCTGTGTGAGTTTGCCCAAGCCACGTCAGAAGGCTTAGTGCGCTGGAGGTGCCCATAACCCGCATGTTCCGACGCGCATCGCATGTGTATCGCACAGAGATAACCCTCATTCTTCACTTCCTCCATGCTTGCACGTGCCCAACTTGTAGGACTCAAGACGGCGCTCGAGAGGACGTTGGACGACTGGCTCCTCATCGTCGACAACGCCGACAACACCGACCTGATATTTGGCGACGACGGCATGTCTCTACGCAACTGCCTACCGTTCAGTCGTCGGGGGACTATACTGATGATGACAAGGGTGCATGAGGTCGCCGTCCGACTGGACGTGCCGATGCGCAACACCTTCGCCCTTGCGGAGATGTCGGAAGCGGAAGCGACGCAGATGTTGAGGACGTCGCTGAGTGAGAAACAGATGCGTGACGGCGCGAGTACGAGGGGGCTGCTTGACTATCTAGCCCGCCTACCGCTGGCCGTGAAACGGACATCGGCATATATGGCGCAGACCGGCATCTCGACAGCTAAGTACCTGGGCTACTGCCGCAGCTTGGACACGGACTAGATAAAGCTCCTGAGCCGAGACTTTGAGGACCGCGGCCGGTACCGCGAGACGGCCAACCCGAACGCCACGACCTGGCTCATCTCGTTCCGGCGCATGACCCAGAGATGCTCCGCCGCGGCCGAGTACCGAAAGCTGATCTGCTTCCTGGCCGAGAAGGACATACCGTTGTCGCTGCTCCGGGACAACGAAGCGGAGATGCCCTCGTGGTGTGTCGTGATGCGCCTGGTGCGCCATGATGCGCTTGCAATGCATAATCTGGCATCCGTAACCTCCATTCGAACCCTCTCAGCCGGCCCCAAGACGCTTCCCGAACTGCTCCATTTCCTGTGCTGAAGCTGCCTGTCAAGACCAGCTCCATGTCGTGTCGTAAAACAAGGACACATCTGTCGAACGCGGCCGAAGCGCTGATGGTCAGAAATGTTCATTGATCATCGCGCGCCAAGAAGGTCAGTCGGAATACACACATACACAGAAGAGAACGCGTCCTGAAATGAGGCTGGTCCATTTCCGCCACGAATTGAAGTCGAATTACGGCCCGCAGGACTTGTGGCCCAAGCTATCAGTGGACCGATGGCGCCTCATTGGCTGTAATCAGTCGCAGGCAACTTTCCGCGCCTGTGCCAGATCGTGCCCCGCAGGCAACTGCAGCCCCCGCAGATTCCGACCACTTTGTGAATCAACCTCATTCAACTTCAGGTCGTCGCTGGGCAGGGACTCGACATCCAGTTATTCACCTCTTTCCGTCGCTCATTTTCGACCTGAGGTGCGTCACGTTGTAGACGCGCAATGCGGACTTTGGGCTGGTTCGGTGCATCGCGTTCGAGTGGGCCAAAGGACGGTTCTGGAGTCACTTTAGTCCCTAGCCACGCCCCCCAGATGACAGCAAGGGTTGGTTCGGTCCGCAGCTGATTGCAGCCAAGGGATAGTTCAATCCCACGACCCAGGACATGCCCCGCAGTCAGTTCCAGCCATAGGACGGTTCGGTCCCAAGGATCCAGTGCCGCTTGAGCTTAATCTGACTGCACATGGTTGACATTCCGTGGACCAAGAATTTGCTGTTTGGCCAGCGATTCGTTTCCCAACTGCGCGGCCACTTGCAGACATGCCCTGATGACGGTTTCCTGTCATTTGTGAGGCAGCACAGAAGTAGGCCTGGTTAGTTTGGGCCACATTACAGCACCCCCACGCGCTACCTGATCACCCGAGCCCATGATGAATGTTGCTTGGAGCATGCGAAGACGAATCGACAGGTTCGCGGCGCAGCGGTGAAGTGGTTACAGTAAGTCGGAGACTTGCCGCCTCCGAGTTCTTCTAATCGCGGGCCATTCGCGCAATCCTATCTGCCGTCCATTCCCTTTCGGCATCCAGGCTCAAATATAATACGACACAGCACGTGCACAACGCCACTGTCTTGGTGCCAATCGAGCCTTCGCCCAGGGCCAGACTAGGCACGACACGACCCGACACGATACCATCGGATACGATGCGATGGAAGTACGTCTCGCGGTGCACCCACCTTCCACCGATCCCGCTGCTCGTCAACAGTGCCGCTCATTGACCCCACACACACGCACACACACGGGGCACCCGCCGCCGCCGCCACCGGCTGCCCAGTCTACATGAACCGCCATTTTGTAGGACCGCTCATTCTACCCATCGAACTATTAGGCTCCAACATAGCTCCCGCGACCTACCACGTCTCTGCTCTTGCCGCATCTGCCACGCCGAATCCCCGAGCCGGCCGCGACGGCCGGTCGCGACGTGCTGTCGGCGCCTCGAATTGTCAGTCTGGCGGACCGGCGATGAAGCAGAGCCTGAGCTCTGCACGCCCTCATAAATGGTCTGCCAGTCTCAACCAAAAAGATTGCAGATATGGTGGAGGAATCGCAAGGCCAAGGCCAGGGCCAAGCTGGCCACACCAGTTCCGAGCCCGCGTCGGCCACCTCTGAGAAGCATCCAGCCCCCGGCAGCTCGTCTGCCAACCACGACGCCGCCAGCAAGAGGCGCCGCGGCCTCGGGATCGTGACCCCTAACGCCTGTACCGAATGTCGCAAGAAGCGCGCCAAGGTATGTGTCCTCCCCTCCTCTTCCCTCCTCTCCCCTCCTCTCCCCTCTCCCTCTCCCTCTCCATCTCAACCTGAGCCCTGAGCTGACTCGTCGCTTTCCTCCCCCAGTGCGACGGACAAAAGCCCTGTGGCAGGTGCAGGTCGCGAAATGTCGACTGCGTCTACGAAATCCCCGTCCGCCAGTACAAGGAGAACCTGCGCAGCGAGATTGAGCAGCAGCGTCAGAGCGACTCGGTCATCGAAGCCCTCGAAGCCGGGGCTGTGGGAGGAGGTTTTAAGTAAGCTGCGCAACGCCTAGAGCGTTGATAGCATATCTGAATGGCATTTAGATATGCTAGGCGGCGTCATACCCCTAGGCAGTGGCGCCGTGCCTATTTATCCTCGCGCAGAGTCCAGGACGAGCACGGGTACAACGCTGCTCCCGCTGTCCGGTACGGGGGTTGGAAATATTGGGCGCGCCGGGAGCGCAATCGTCCCGGACGGCTTTGGCAGTGGTATCTTGCCGTAGGCCCCGAGCTGGCACAGAAGCACGAGTACGACCAGAATAGCGTCTGAGCATTCTCGTCACATAGCCAGACGCAGTCGACCCGGAGCGATTCCCATCCCGATATCATGCAGTGGACCGCCGAACTGCAACCACATATCGATGTGGGCAGCTACCAGGGCTGGATAAGTTGATTGCCCCTGTTGGCCCTCCCGAGATGACGGTGCCACCAACCTGGTGAATCAATGTGACTGCCGACAACGCCTTAGTACGCCACCTGCTTGCCCTGTACTTTTGCTGGGAGTACTCAACTTCTGCCTAACTCAGCAAGGAATACTTCGTGAAGAATTTCTTCAGTGGCAGGCCCAGGTACTTCTCGCCGATCATGATGAACGCACTAATCGCCTTCGGCTGCAAGTTCTCGAACCGCCGAACACCTGGGCCAACGAGAACGACCAGAGCACCCTGGTTGACCACTTCTTCAAGGAGACCCTGCGGCTGTTCTACCGCGAAACCAACAACCACACCCTGACGACGATCCAAGCCTTGGGCAGCATGTCCCTTCGCGACGCGAGCTGCGGACGGGGCCCGGAAAGTTGGTGTCACGCTGGCCGAAGTGTGCGCATGGCCATCGAGATGGGCTTGCACCGACTCTGTGATGACGGCGACGAGGACGAGATCGCCGTGCAAGGTGGCATCTTCTGCGCCTCCCCATCAACGATGAGGTGACCGAGGTCAAGGAACACTCCAAAATTGATGAGTGGTACGTGGAAGAGAGCACGCCGACCGACGAGCTGGCGAGGCTGCGGCAGGAGCCGAAAGATGCGCAGAATGAAATAGACCCACCGAAAGAGATAGTCGAGGGCCTGGAAGGGCTCATCCGCGAGCAAAAGACTGAAATCGGGCGACGGCGCCAGAACGAGACGATGCTGCAGACCAGGCGGAGCTGCGGAAAAAGACGCACCCAGACACGCACCAACTTGAAGCTAATCGGGAGCGGCATCGTCGTGATAGAGGCGCTGGTACGCGACCGGACCCTGCTGGTGCAGCACTTGCTCGAGACGGTGATTAGTCGGCTGGACCGCGTCGACAGCGCGACCTCGGGACACCGTGTCTTCGACGAGATCGACGGCTTCCTCGAGAACGTAACCAGCCACATCATGGGCTGCATACAGCAGGTCATGCAAGACGCCTCCGCCGTCAACAGCGTGGTGCGCAACATGCGGCGCCTGCTCCCGGGCCGAGTCGACAGGAACGACCTGGAAGACATGACGCGCCTCTTCGGCGAGGTCGATACGTTCAAGGACGAACGTCGAGGAGCTGCTAGGGAGCAGGCGCTGGCCGGCGCGGGGGGCGGCGGGGCCATACAAATCGAAACGAAACAAAAGGAACCCCCCCTAGATCGTCCCCTCTATCTAGGTTTCTAGCTAGACCAGCTCGTCTTTTCCTCAGACGTGCCTAGGCCAGAGAGAAAGAAGATGACATCCGTTGTGGATATGCTGAGTCAGGTGATGGTGGCCATGGCCGGCTTCTGGTTCGTCGACCGCCAGTGCGTCTGGTTCGAGCTCGGCGACTCCTTGACCAATCTCGAGCGCGCATGCATCAGCATCGCCATATTCTCTATCGCCGTGCGATTGGCCCAATCCGCCGTGAGGCGCCGGCGCATCATCCGGGGCCGCGATCGGGCCGCCGCCAAGATGGGACCTCTGACCCGCAAATGAAGCCGGCGAGCAACGACGTTCGTGGCGCCAATGTGCTGTGCTTTTATTAGTATGGAAGCCACATAATGGGTGTATTTAGTACCAAAGTAGTTGATATCGAGAAAATACATGAAGGTCGGAGAATGAATCTATCCGAGCGACTCAAGTGACGAAAGAAATCGTCTGCTGTTCATACTGTGATCAAAATACCTAAGATGCAGATAGAATGCATGTATTTGAAATATTACCATATAAAGTCAGATTAAGCTCAAGCGGTTCTGTGTCAAAATGGATCTATAGGACTAAACTGTCTGTCCCTTGGCTGGAATCGGCTGCGGGGCATGTCCTAGGTCTTAGAATCTTAGAAGCATGTCTCGCGACCAAACGATACGTAGTGGGTTAGAGGCAGGCATCACCCTCTAAAAGCTTCACACAGATGGCATACTTCCGACATCCTCCTTCTCCACAAGAAACAAGCTCTACTAGGATATATATGAGCGAAATTCGGGAGGAATACAATTAACTCCATGCTCTGATTATGTCGGATCTTGTAGTTCGCCTATTGACGAGACATCATCCTCTGCGTTCTTTCTTGGGCGGCCAGATTTTGTTGGCCAACATGACTCGATGTGTTCGTGAAATTCCTCTTTAGATGCACTTCCATAGCCGCAGTGACATCGATACTGCCTCTCCACCCTTGGCCGTGTACAGTTCTTGAGGTGGCGACGGAAATTGTCTTTCCGCGCAGTTTCATATCCACATGAACAGCCGTATTGCGGCCGGCCAAAGCTATGCACTGAGCTGAGATGTCTACTTAGATTTTTACTCTTCGTGAATGATTTGTCGCATCTGCGGCAAGGATAGCGCATCGCCTCCTTCCTGTAAGATTTGGTATCTCTTGCGGCAGTGCCCGACACAGAGGAAGCTGAGTACGAGGTGGTTTCGTTGATTACCGGGGAAGGTAAGCCAGGCTCGTACGCGTTGTAGATATTTCCTTGATGATCTCGCTGGTATACATCCCCATCTGATATGCCTTGAGCGCCAAACTCAGGTACAAGTCCCAAGGAACCACAGTTCGGCGTTGCGCAGCAACCGTCACAGACACCTTTTAGCTCAGTCTTCAGGTGGGTGACGAGTCTAGTCAGTAACTGCGATATGTGATACGGCTGTTCGCCTGGTGCAGCTGCATGGGCATTGGTATCAAGTTGCAGGATATGCTCAGGGTGGAACCCCTCAACTGCGTTGATTACTTCGAAAACTTCGACGACCATTGGGTTGACAAACTCTGGCAGAAGTTAGCATGAATACCCCAGCACTAGAAAGAGATTGCCTTGTACCAGGTGAGGAGATGTACGTGTCATTGGGAAATAGGACTTTCCAAAGGGTTTCCCAGGAATCGACCTTGAGGCCACTCTTGCGTTCGGTGAGTAACATGTCAGCCTCATCGGTGATGCCGTCCTCAGGATTTTCTGAGAACTGACAGTCCACGATGCTGCATATTTGGTCTGGTGGTGCTCGCATGTGTTTGACAAGCTCATTTTGGTTTTCGAAGGCCTTAGCACACCGTAAACACTTAAATGGGAGTTGTTGACGTCGATGGTAGACCCTTATATGGCGCCTATTCATGATCATTAGAATCAGCCACGCGAACCCCCCTTGTCTCTTTTCTCTTTTCTTTTCTTCGGGGTTTCGAGCTCAGGATGCTCCCACATACTTGAGGATTGCTAGATCAATAAACCCACTTGAGGCGCAATTTTGATACTGTCGAATATTAAATCTTGCCGGATTACGTCTGCGAAACGGACAAGAAAGTCTCTTGTTCTCTGGCTCGGGTCTTGCCGAATCCCTACTGCACATAGTGGTCGAATTATTACCAAAGCCGGTACTCACGCCTCTTGAATCATGGTGTGCACTGAGATAGGGTGTTAGCGAGTCAATAGCACGGTATGTCCAGGTTGGGCAGAACATCAAAATACCTTATTCCATCGTAGGCTGCGGCCTCCAGGATGGGAGTGGGTCTTGATTGTCGCCAGCCACATCGACCATCCATTTCCCGTATCATTTTCGACATGCTGATAGCTTGTCTCTTGTGTGTTACGTTGACCGTACACATATGAAATTATGCCGGACCCTTGCTCGAGGCAATGTTCAGAACTCTAAGGTGAAATGTTTAGCGCCCATCAAAGCCCAAATATCCTCAAAGGCAGATTGTGATCCATCAAGGTTCATGTTATGTTCGATTACTGGATGGGATGGGATGGGAGGCACACACTTGACCTTTCGGCACGAGGCTGAGGCTGTACCAATCGTTGAACTCACTATTGAGCCCGAAAAGTGAATCTGCTTCGATAGTACTAAAGCTCCCGGTTTGCCATGTGGCTCTGCTTCTCCAATGTGGTAGATTTTCGACTTTCGTTCTCGGGGCCTGATGTGGTCTCGATGACATTGACGCGAAACGGTCTTATGGCTCCACGACTGCTTCTTGACCCCGTAGCCGCTTTCCAGACAAATAAAAGGGCATTCAGGAACCAATGGGTCATATATTATCAGGACAGGGGGCCTTTTCAACATATTCGACCATCAGATAGTGTATCCGCAAATGTCCAGCCAGACAAAATAAGAGTGAGGGGACAGGAATGTAGTATTATTAGGATTGTACAACTCAAGGAAGCTAAACCGATCATGGGCACTTCCAGACACGCTACTTGATAGTGACTGTGATTAGCAGGATTGCGAGCACATACCGGGCAACGGAGGTAAAAGAAATCAGAACGAATCGCTACGGAATCTGGACGGAAGCGATGAAGAGCGAATTTGGCTTCGAACACTAGTGCCAGCCCATACTACATGTGGTCAAGCATTGCAACGATGGCCGATGCCCAGCGGTGATCTTCCCAACCGCCACTACAGTCCTTCACGCTTATGAGGGATTCAAACTGATCTGCCCGACTTGACTTGTGATGGCTAGGCTAGACTTCCGAAACACCAAACATATCCATATCTGTCGCGTTATTTTCCAACACCTCGATTTCTGTCTCAAATTCAGGGACAACTCCAAACTGGTGGATGGACTCATCATATGTGAGACACCTTCCAACCCCGGCAATCCGACAGCCAAGCCATAGAATTCGTTCCTTCCTCTCCTCAGTCATGGAGGCCACCTCGAAATATTTCTCATCATCAATCCTCTCATTGGAGAACCAGTCTATCGGGAAGTATTTATCCACCCACAGGAGTCCTTTCATCGCAAAATCCTCAGGCAATGGCCTTTGGACGTCCATCTCGGGCCATGGGAATCTCTCGCTCTGGATTCGCTCGTAATGTAGATATGGTAAGAGTAACGAGTTAAGTGATAAAGAAACCAATTTCCAGGGAAACGTCTTGTCGATAGTCGCCATGGCGTTGGGGAAGAAGGTCAGATGATATGTGAAGACCAGGACAGTGTGGAAAAACGGTAAGACGTTAGGATCCGCAAACCTGCGCAAGACAATCTTGTAGGTTTCCTGGGACAAGTGTAATGCTCGCTCGAATGTCTCTCCCAGTGATTGGTTTGACTCCACCACGTCTATGTCCGTTGCTTCTTCTACCCGCTGCGAGCAGATGTTTTGGTAGATGATATTATGCTCCTTGCCATAGTTTAGAAGAGCGCAGCAATTCGAAATTGCGATATAATATCTAGACGGTCAGAAAGCTTGTGGCTAAAGCGGCAGGCTAGCACATACCCGGACTCCATCCATCGCCGAGTTGTCCTTCCAATATGCTTATCTAAGTCGCCCACGAATTCTTCCACCGCAAGTTGAAAGTCGTCTTTACATCTTCCACTGAACAGAATCCCATGAGCCTTCACAAACGAGCGGTCGACTGGCATTTGACGCATTGGCTGTGTGTGGCTCGAGTCTAAAAAGGGCTCCAACAAAGTCATAATTGACTCCCGAGCTGATGTAAAAGGGATTGGCACACATAATGACTTTGTGTAATAGAACAACTGCTGTAGAGGATTCGGTCGAGCAAGGATTGCTAGGTGGTGATACAGGCGTCCGGTGGTAGGGGCCCTATCCGAGGCCTTCGAATACCAGTGTCGTGAGATTGAAGTCCACACCTCGCGGTCCCAAATATCGCAATCTTCGATCGCCATCCTGTATCTGCCTAGGTCTCCGAGACACTCGATCCAGATATCTTCAAACGCTGGTACCGTCTCATACAGGAGCGTCATCATGGAGTATGCTAGGTAAATGAATGTCAACATGTGCTCGAGAGACATTGGCAAGCGGTTCCTAAGAAGTTCTAAGAAGGAGTAGATGCCGTGTCTCCACATCCTCGCCGGCATCGCATATTTTGAAGCGAGACGTCGAAGCACCGGGCTTGCAGACGGGTGTTGCGAAGCCAAGAAGAAATCGTGATACTCATGAAGAAGAGTCCTATGAAGGGCGATCAGTGCTTGCCACTGCTCGTCATTGAGCTTGGCATCAATTTGTGAGCTCTGGGCATTGATCACTTCGATACACTTGGACTCGACCATGACCAGCCCGGCATAAATACCTTTCACCTCGGCGACCAATTGTTCGTTAGTGACCAGCCGGGTTTTTGGTTGCTTGATGAGTGCTATGTCAGTTTCCTCCTGGGAGCCGTCAAGGTATCCGTAGCCAGCGAAGCAGCCGTGCCCTGGCACCCTGTGAAGCGAGCCATCCCCCGGAGTCCATAGTTTCTCGTCCGGCGTCTTTGGGCGAAGAAGCCTAGGCAAGAGTAGCGTAGATTGAGGTTTTTCTGCCTCGATCGTTGCTGTAGAGGCATTCCTATCGAGCGCTTCTCGGTTTGGGCTGGGAAAGCGGAGCGGCTGGCTTTGCGTCACTAGGGATGGTTTTCAGTACAGAAACAAAAGTACCGGAACAGGCTTGATCACTTTTGTAGACTGTCCGCAACATCCCATACCCGACAGGCACTAATCACTGCGCGTAGTCCTTTGGTTTTCACGAGGTGTGAACGTTCGGCGCGTGCATGCCTCAATGGAATCTGAAGTGTTTGGAACAAGATCGCCACAGCCCTCGATGCTACAAGAGATCTTGGAAGTTCTGTGCAGAAAGGCTGTGAATGAGGCGCCGAAATCGAGCGGTGGGTTGTCTCTTACCGTGAGAAGCTTTCAATGGCAGATAAGGGAATATCCTCCAATGTGCAAGCGAAGAATTGGAAGGAACGTCTGGCAGCCAGCCTGTGTGGAGGCAACATCGAGGCCGGTGAGACTTTAAATGCCCAATGCCTTGGAATGTAAGTAGACCCGTGTTTGGTCGCAAAGTGGTTCGCCAGTCCCTCAACTGCAAACAAGGCAAACGTGCTAATGACTGCGGTTGAATCCGAGCACCCAGGGGACAGACCCGCCCATATACATCCTACGGGCTCATAGACCATGTTTGGCTGACTTTACACACTGTCAACATGATACTAACGTCTACTACGTCTCTGTGGTGAAGTAGATCGTTGATACCGCCCATTGTGTCTTGCCTGTGAACAGGAGCCTGCGACAATAGTCTGACGTTGACCGGTAGGACGAGGCAAACATAGCTGATCCCAGGAGGCGAGGCTTAGCAGAAGGGAAACGGTGAGGTTCGTGCCTGCGGAACCGCCGAGGCTGATCATGGGTTCGCCTACCGGTCAAGTCTTCGCCCTCGTCGAAAGCGAGAAGTGGCTGTGTAGAATTGAGTCATGGTCCCTGGCTGCCGCGGATCTCGCGGCCGATGCGGTGCCAACGAGACCCACCACCTTTTCGTGCTCTCCATGAGCAGGTGTACTAGCAAAGGTGACTGCGAACTGGATCAACAAATGTCCCCAGAGTGACGTTTGGTTATTCCAGTCACTGTGTCAATATCAATTATTGAAAACTAAAATCAGACACGACAAACTTATTGCGCCCAGAACCTAGAACTAGGCCACAACGGTAAGACGTAAGCATCTTTTCCTGCTACGCACCAGTCTCAGCAGCCCTGTACCTGTACCTGACCTCTACTGTTCTTACCGAACTTTGAAGCTGAAAACTTAGGCTCGTCCGGTCTCCCGTGCTAGTCACACATGAAGGATAGGACCGGATGCCGGATGTTGGACAGTAAAGGAAATATGTCGAGGCACTGTGATGAGTTCTTGCGCCACCCGCCGCAATTGTTCATAGACCCAATGGTCCGACCCTGTGTTTCTAGGCGTGCTTCTCTCCAGGCCGTGTTCCAATTCCAGTCCCATGTGGCTGCTTCTTTCATGTCGCTCAGCGGCGGCGCGTCCACTCTCCTTGCGTGGGGGGGCGACCACACCAGGGATCCATGGTAATGACCGTCAAGAAAGTAAAAGGGGGTGTCATTCAGATCATAGCGCTCCACATACTTTCGCGTCCAATCTTGCGTCTTTACAGGCAAGAGATTGGATCTTATTTGAGAATCCGAAACAAATTATCGTGATCAACATTCATATCCCAGGATGGATGACTGGTCTCTCGACTCTGGCCGGGTATCACATGCTACTTTCAAATATGGAAGATCCAGCCAAGCATGTATCGCAGTAATATGAAGTAATGCTGCACAGCTATCATTACATAATCAAGGCTCAAAAGTTTAGTCCGGTCGTGCCGCAGTGAAGCGGTTACTTTTCACAGCACCTGGCGCACGCAAAGTCCATGATGCGAGAACTTAGGTGCCTCTCATTTCAGCGGATATCTAACCCCCAATCAAGGCATCTTGGTTCAATTTAATTAGCCACCCCTGCTGTCTTGGGCCAGGAAGTGCTGATCGGAGCTGTATACTGCTGACTCACATTCAACTCGGCATGGCCGAGATACTTCGTCGTGATGCCTTAGCAGATTGCCAAACAATTACTTCCGAGACCATGCAAGGATCAGGGGGCGGATCAGCCTCCCGACTGAGTGGCTGTCATTCAAGAGCTTTCCCTCTGCTCTTCGGAACTTCCAGTGTGGAGGTCCGGCAGCCTGACCATCCCTGTGTCAGGTAAGAGTCTGAAGAGATGATCCAGGACAGGGAGGTGACATCACACTGTAACCTTATCATTAGCGGGTTGCTCTCCAGCTCGCTCAAGCAGCCAGGTCCCCCCTAGTGACACCAATTAAAGTCGAAAGGAGTGTGGATAGCGTTGAGATTTCAGCAACAATGGCGAATGCCACAAACCCTTATATTTGACTCGACCACTTTCTTTGAGTTTTGAATTTCGAGTTTCAGACGTCGTTCCACTATTCACTTTTCCCGCTTGACGGTGATGATTATTGCTCTGCATGCAGTTGGAATCAAAGTTCCGTCCGGACTGCAGGACCCACTGGTAATACCTACTGGGATCCGACTGTGAGGAACTCTATCGCTGCTCTTGGATGGCTTGCGAGTACACGTCTAGATCACCAGAAAGATACTAGTAATTCTCCTCAAGGTCTTGTCGAGAAAAATGGCTGATATCTTTCTACTAGCGAACACCTGGATAACCACCTCGACCATTTCACAACTCAAGTATCTGATGATAGTGGGTTTTCAAAGGCATCATGTGATAACCTCTTTCGCAAAGCCCAACTCGCTGTGAGCCATCACATTATTGATGGAAAAGAAGAGAGCTTCCAGACCGGACGACCTGCAACATTGGAGAATAAGCACGGGCATCGGAAGGGTTGTAGAGTGTGAAATAGTACCGTTTGAAATCATCGTGCAAGAGACATTCTGCAACTTTCAAAGGCTGTTAGGGTATCATGCACTCATCAGTCTTGCCGAGTTTACTCAGTTAAAAGATGATATGACCTCTCAGTCTATCTCTCTCTCATACTCACTATCACGTTATGCTTTGTCTATCGTTATAATCGCGATAGGGTTAAGTGCGACTGCGCGCACTCCAACAGAGACATCACAGTGTCGTAATCTTCTCATAGACGCAGAAAAATTGCTGAAATGGGACCGAGCTTTTAGCTGGGAGAAGCCCGTCGCATAAATCATCATCGCTTTGACCTGCGTCGAAGCAGGACAAATGGAGAAGGCTTGGAAGAATTTGAATCACTGCGAACAAAGCTACACCTGTTTGACTCAGTGAGTGGCCTAGTCGAATGGAAGTACTAAGCTAACTAGATGCCAGCGAGCGTCCCTACGACCGATTTCCACCTGATTTCGACGTCTATCAGGCAAGCTTGGAACTATCCCAGAGTGGTGAGAATATGAGAGCATCCTGCGTCTTTACAGAACGCTTGAACACTGAAATTAAACTTGACAAGTTGAGAACGGTTATCCACGACCTACGGGCCAGAATTTGACGCACCTCTCCTACAAATCAGAGGAAAAGTCGGATTGACATAGCATAACGTATCAAGCACCAAGAGATAGTAGAATATTAGATTACATCTTGCTATTGCCCTCCATTCTTCGAAAGACGTTGGGGTTTTGACTCTGTAGAAGAGACTGTGTATCGTCTCTACAAATCAATGTATGTGGGCATCCACTCCTTCTGGCTGCACCCATGAACTTCGGTACCTAGAACTGTGAAACCCCAATTCTGGAGCAGAGGGTTTCCCTTCATTTGTGTTGGTATCAGTCGCTTTTTGATGGGGGCATCAGTTGACTCCCCCTGTCCCTGACAAGCTGACCTCTCCAAGGCCGAGCTATCGGCTCCACGGTGAGATTGACAACGTAATCTCCAGCTGCTCTTCAGCTCGGGGAATTGTGCCGCCTGACTAAGTGCAATTACAGGCATGTGGCCTTTACACCAAGTGGGGTCGCGAGTGGTGGGCGGCTACCTCCGTAGTAGAGGCTTGCTAACTGGCATCCCATGAGTCCTAGTGCAGGGCTTTGAGTTCATGGTTTGGCCGGTCAACAGTACTAATAGCCCAGATCGATATGGCACTTTTCTTGGAAAGGTGGAGCAATGGCAGATCTCTACCATTCCAGATGCAGCTTATGAATAGGGTCTGTTTCGTGTCATTTGGCTGCCAGACCTGGCACGTTAGCTTCTGGCTGCACACTATCCCCAATTCACTCATGCTTGTAGATGGTGATACTTGACCACGATACAAATTCTCTATATCCTCGGGACAGCAGAGTTCTTGGCTACAAATGTACGCATATCAACTATAATGTTTGATAATAAAAGATTGCTGTACTCGAGCGGCACAGCTACCCGATACGCTGTATTTCAGGATGCCGGATTTTGGGATATTGAGCCAAGGTCCATTGGATGAGGGACTGCTGACTCGCTCGAACGCTCTTCTAATCTATCACATATGTTGGCCTGAGGCTTCCCATATCAGTAATGCGCTTGCAAAGCAAGCTCCCTCCAATCGGAGTTGCATCCAGGATAAGCGGGCCAAAGCTAAGGTACATAAGAGAGGTGGTACTTCGTACGCGGGTCTATCTAGCTGTCTGTCAAATACCACTGGACCATCAGCTGAAAGCTTGCACCACTTCTCATAGCTTTCCAAGGCGATATTCGCCAGGCTGTGATGCAGACCACGCAATCAGAGGTAGGACGTCCTCTAGCCCATCCCATACTTCAAGGACGTAACCTACCTAGACCTCAACCCTTACAACCTCATGATGGTCATTTGTTATCAACTACATTGTTTCCTGATCATCTCTATCGTTTAAAGCAACAGATTCCATCGGCGCGCCAGACTGAACGTCCTCTTCGAGAATGCCGCCAGCATGAGCGAGACTTATTCCTATCTCCACCCGCTCCACCCATGCCTAGCCAGTCTCCTCTCCCACCCATACAAGTACAATTCGCGACGTTGTCCCATGAACACTCGTTAACGAGTAGGGAACCTGGAGACGAGGTTTGTCTATTACAGATGCGCCAACCTCGCTCCAGAGGAGACACTCGCGAGGAGCTTCAGCCGTATCCCTCCAGGCAACCTCCTTATTCAACACAATACGAGAACATTTTTCCAAAGCTTCACACCTCTCATGAGAAAGTCTCGCCGCCTCAGGCGCAGAAGAGCTCTGGGACTCAGCGACAATCACCTTTCCAAGCTTCGCTCACGCCTGTAGTCCAACTGAAACCCAAGGTCGGTGGCCCTGCCACTCGCTATAGTTCGCTTTGTACAGATGAAATGTCCTCAACCACACCGACCACCAGCAGGAAGCGCAAAGGCCACCACGCCTCGCAGGTAATATGATCAGTGATTTGGGCTTATCACACGTATTAATCTTGCCATTTCAGGCTTGCGACAGCTGCAGAAAGCTTAAGACAAAATGCGACGAGCAACAGCCGTGCAGGAACTGCACGATCAAGAACATTTCATGCATTTATAGAGATTTGAAGAAGAGACAGTGGGTTCATAGAGAATTTGCGCTGTTGCTGTATTTACTAATAGCTATTGGCAGGCCACAAAACGATGGCGCGGAAGTCCTGCTTCTCAAGAGTTGGCTCAGTAGTGAGCTCAGTAGTGTGAACCGTCAATTAAGCAGGTTGGAGCGAGCCATGGAAGGTTTGGAAAAGAACATTGGAATGATTGTTGAATCTTCGGGCAAAGGGAGTAGCCACGACACGAATTTATTGCCACCGAGTGCGCACACAAAATAGGCCAGACAAGTCCCATGCACGGCTTCTAGCAGCCCTTGCTCGTCATGTCTTCTTGGAAACCTATAAGGCGTCTGTAACCAACACCTTGAAGGAACTGTCCGTGATAACTTGTGATCAGACTTCGTCCAACGCCTTGTAAGCTACATGGTAGCCATTGTTATAGCATTCGAAAGTGACGATGGACTCTTGACCGCTCCTCGGATCTCCGAGTATCCCATGACTTGGAAGTGCTCGATGTTGCTATAGATGGTAAGCTTGATATTCTCAAGGCCATTTCCGAACATCCTTAGCATTATGTATGCCCCTGTCACGGTTTCTAGCTGTTCAAATGTGAACCGCGCTAGGAGGAAAGGCGCAAATGTGATATTTAGAAATGATGTACGGAGGGATACAAGAACACCCACCTGTGTGCGTTGAAGTCAGCTGTCTGCCTCCGGGAATGTGGCTTAGTCTTCTCCGTTGAGGGCTTACTGAGTTTGACGTTGACACGCCTTCACGGTGGGGAAATAGAGAGACCTCCGGAGTGTGTAGACTCTAGACAGCTAGGTACGTAAGCTGGGGCAACAGGGTTGAACGCTGGAGGGATATAAAAGACAGCCACGCCCATCAACTGCTCTCACAAACTTACCTTTCATACACGCTGTTTGTCGAACTTTCAATTTCGATCCTCATAGGCTATCCATAATTGCAGAGTCTTCATGACGCCGCCCAAATGGGGGATGCCTTTCAACTGGGGGATGCCTCCTCATGAGGAGACGGCTATTTCACCAGTTACCCACTCTTTGGCCGACCTACTCCGGAGAAGCCCGTGCGAAGGAAGGCCGAGGAGACACTGCCATCCACATGTCCAAACTAATCCGGCCCAGCCTCTGCTCATCTCTCTCGCGCAGCACGGGGCGCCACAGCGGTGCCTGTCAAACGATATTTACCCAGGCGTGACTTGAAACCCCGCCGTCCGTGTAGTCCCGTCCGCGAGAGAGGTGAGTAGCAGGTGGGTCGAGATGGTGTGGCATGTTGGAGACATTCGTCCGGACCGGCGTGCTTCAGCAGAATGAACAGAACAGAACGCGTCCTAAAATGAGGCTAGTATATTTCTGCTACGAATTGAAGTCGAATTACGGCCTGCAGGACTTGTGGCCCAAGCTATCAGTGGACCGATGGTGCCCCAGTGGCTGTAATCAGCTGCAGACAACCTTCCGTGCCTGCGCCAGATCAGGCCCCGCAGGCAATTGGAGCCCCGCAGATTCCGACCACTTTGTGAATCCAGGTTGTAAGGTTATCCAGTCGAAGAAAAGCGTCAAGCGTAGCCCATATGAACTACTCAAACAATGTCATGCGCCTACATTCAAACCCTACCTTGTCTGGAGATGCGACAACTCAAGAATGAAGAAGGAATCCTCGATTATAACGTACTGGAAAGTGCTGAGTATGTTCTATTGTAATCAGATCAAGACTCGGGTGGACGGAGGAGTGTTATTTGACATAAACAACGTACGTCTACCATAGACACCTAGTCACGCTGTAACTGATAAATTATTAAGTGGATCCCTATCGTTCTGACGCCATTAAAGAACCTCGACACTTCCGCCAAAGACAAGTCTGGTCTCTACGTGGCTGATCTGGATCTTATGCTGTATCATCATTGGATTCTTGATCAAGAAGTCCTGACATATGGAAGGCTCTGCGTCCAGATAGCATTAATTTTGATTTTGGCTGGTGCGACTTCGACCCGAATCAACGTGTGAAGTTCATAGATATCACTGGGGAGAGTAGCTCCAGTCGATAGCAAGAGAGGCTCTACATTATCATGACCTCCAAACACCGCACGTTGTAGGGCGTCAAGTCCACAGATATCCAACATCATCCAATCTGCGCCATGGGCTAGCAGTGTTCTTACAGCCTCAACATGGCCCTCTTTGGCAGCCAGGTGTGTACATGGACTACCCCAACAATTTGGGATCATGGCATCCGCCCCCTTCTGCCCGATACCATTTTCTAGGTGCATATCCTACACTTCAGTGGTCAGTGGACGGCAGGACCGACGTTGCCAGCCGAGCAGATAGTTGTGCCGCTATCATCGGGTAGTGCAGGGGGTTTCGATGACTCACGCCGCGTCGCCGTCGTATCCTGCAAGTATGAAGGCGACATCTCCGACCAGGTCCTGGCTCCCTTGTCTGGGCCGTTCGTCGGTTTCTAAGCCCTGGTGATGCGGGAACGGGGGGTGGCAAAGTCTCTCGCGGTCCATGTGAAAGCCGCGTTGTCGCTCTAAGGCGCATTCGTTGCCTTCCCAGGCAATCAGGTGGCCCCAGGCTGGCGACTGGCTGCGGCTCATACATGAGTCTCCCGGAACCAGCCATCGCAGGTAGGGACGGCTGGCAACCCCTGCATGCCGTCTCGCCCCAAAAATATCGCCCGGCTAGGGTGAAGAGAACTTTGCCAATAGGAAGATACCCGAATCTTATTATTGTAGTCCGCTCCACCCTCAGGCGACAATTTGGGCAGGCTACTCCCTAACTAAACCAAAGGCTCTATTCTGACTGTCGTACCGTGTTACCCTTTTCTGGACTCGGGTGTGTTCCTATTCACCGCAGTCTCTTCGTAGCCGCCCGCAAGCCCAGGAATTGCCCTCCACGGGCCGCCACTAGGGATTGGGGGATCCCTTTCCCAAGCAGCAGCGGCCCATGCACTGTGGCGATCGGCAGCACCTAGGCACAGAGCAAAATGGGTCACTGGGGGTGCGGAAGGGGGCGCCGAAGGGCCCGTCTCCCGGGCGAGCCAGGGATACAGCAACTACAGGACGTGCGTGCCTGGCGCTGCAAATGCTGTGGCCATAGCACACCACGAAGTGCCCCGGTGGTGGTGTGGGCGCAAAAGGGGCGCATCGAGACTTCAATGCTTCATATCTTGTCATTTCCCACCCAGACCATGTCCACTCACACCCCCTTAAACAGCCGTGGGTATTATTGTTCTAAACTGGCTCTGCGGTTTGATTACTTTTAGAGAACCGATTCCCGTGGCTGCATCCGCTCTTCCTTCTCCTTCCTTCCTTTCGCCAATTGATACGTACATAAGCTGCAGTGGACTATTTTTCTGTGTTCGTCTGCGATACTCTGCTGCTTGGGTCGTCTGCGGTGGTTTCCTTTGTTCGCTTTCGTACGCACACTCCTTTGGGCTCAGGCACCTCCTTGTCTAGACGCTCCTCCAGCGAACCAGGCATTCGTGCAAACATCCACGACGCTGCTGTACCACCAAGCTGCCAGTTGGCTAGGTTTGACCTGCAGTCCAGTTAGTCCCTGCCCAACCCAGACAGGCAGACAGTCTGATTGACTGACAAGACGTATTCCCATGTATGTGTAAGCCCCCAGCAGCCCCGGCTCTTTTCCCATCCTGCAGAAGTACAAACTTGGGGCCCGTCGACTTTGCTTCGAATCACAACGGGTTGCATGTATGTACACGCTGCAAGCTGCCGTCTCCAGACCACTCACGAGACCAACCCCATGTAACTTGACTGGAGAGCTGGTACTTGTTTGCAACTTGTCTGTCATATAGAACCTTGGACTGATCCGTCGTCGGCAGTAAGCCACACTCCTTTTGGTCACCGCATCCACAGACCGCCTATTCACAGGGGGGCCGTGTTTACTTGGGAGGCATTGGCAGTGTTGCACCAGACGTAAGCTATTTTGAGTATTGGCCTACGAGATTCGACACCTTGGACATAGGACAAGAAGTTTGAGGGAAAAAACACCAAAGATGAGCGATCAAGGGGCTGGTGGCATCGAAAGCCACGGCAGAGATAGAAGGTTATCGGAACCAACCTCGAATACACGCGACGATCAGATGCAGCAACAGAGCACTCAGACAGAAACTCCAGGGCCTGAAGCAGAGGAACAGGCAACCCTACTGCAGAACGATTCCCCCCGTGGTCACCTATTGACACCAAACGCACAGAATTCCGGGCTATCTCGCAACCCATCGACAGGCTCGAATGCGTCCGAAACATGGCCATTGCCGAAAAGGAGGCAGAGTCGAAAGGCACCCCGGAGAAATCCGTCTCAAAAGGCACTATCACAGACACACGCGGCCAGGCCTTTGGATCCGCCCGTTACGAAGTCGACATTGGGCGAGCTGGACGTGAATAAGATTATCCACAACCCAAAGTTGCGACACGACATCAACTTCGACCCGGAGTTGCACTTCAGACCTAACATGGATGGCGAGAAGGGCAGGAGGAAGCAAGACAAGGCAAACCAATTTTGGACGACGCTACGTGATCAGTTGCAACAGTTCATCACCAACCCAATCGAGTTCCAGGAGCGGTTCCACAACCAAGAGTGGTGCTTACCACTGTTGCTTAGATCAGTGAAGGAGATCATCCAGACTCTTGTTCCGGCTAGAGACCGTGTCTATCTTGACGAAGGATTGAATGTGGATCTGATCATGCAGCAGTTCAACCGTGGCGTTGCGGATTTGGAGAAGCTTGCTTCATGGTTGTCTGGTGTTCTCAAATCGCATTGTGCTCCCTTGCGAGACGAGTGGGTGGATGAGATGTACAACCAAGTCACAAACGGCAACCGAACGAACAATATGGAAGAGTTGGTTCAGGGCATGCGAAGCCTCCTGAGCGTTCTGGAAGCGATGAAGTTGGACGTGGCCAACCATCAGATCAGGTGCCTCCGCCCCATCTTGATTGAGGACACAATTCATTTTGAGCAGAAGTTCTTCAACAAGAAGATTCTAAGCGGGAAGCTGGAGCCGTATTCAGCACGAGAGTGGTATCACCTAGCTTCCCACGAATGTCAGCCAAACCAAGCTTCTAGGTCTGCCTTTGGCGAAATGGCTGTGTTCTTCGAGGCTCTGTCGAGGCTGGTTCTTCCTTCCAACCCGGACCCCTTTCCGAACACATTCCTTCTCGATGAGGAGCGCCTCTTCAACCTTCGCTCCGACATGTTGGACGCCATTAACCTTGAGATCTGCATGCGGGTACATGAAAAAATGGAGAAGGAGTATAGGCAGTACAATTCAGCCATCCCGACACCTTTCCTCGCCACTCCCCTCTCCGATGCGTCCGGTTTCCTTTCCGCGGGTTCTGACGACGAGTCCAATTTTAACTTCAACAACACCCGTTCGAGGCCGGCAAGTCTTGTCTTCTGGTCAGCTGGATCGGCCAATTCCTCTCCGCGATCATCGCTGATCCTTCCGCCTGCCCCTACGTCGAATCCAGTGGACGCCAGAACGAAGTCTCGGAATTTGTACATTTCTCTCGTGGCTCTACTCAACACGTCCACCTCCGCCCCCAGACCCAGTCACAAGTGGAAGGCAATGAAGGACTCCTTAGCCCTGCAGATCTTTAGATTTACAGACGCACCACAGGAGGCTCTTCTACAATTCGAAGACGAGCTGGACCAGCATCTCAATGAGCCTGACTCGCCACTGTTCCAGGATGTCGAGCAACACTTCCACAGCCGGTTGGTAGCGGAGTTGCAGCTACGCGTGAAGGAGTTCAAGTCTCTCACTGGTGTTAACCTCTTCTCGGTGGCCACCGGTGGTCGTATTCATGGACCCGGCCGCACGTGGGACGGACCCCGGGAACGAAGCTCAGAGCGCGATATTCTGGATAACTCTTTACGAGAGGCGCAGGAGGAGGGCGGAATCGAGGACATGGCTTCGAGGCTGACACACCTCGGTATACTCCACTGGAGAGTCTGGTCGAGACTCGTGTACCACGCAGAATTGGAATCGGTGGGCGGTCGCCCTCAAATATTCATTGCTGGACTTCGGTGAGAACGCTGGAGCATGTCTATTCTCGACAAAGATCCCGGGTTGGTTTGTGGCCGCTAGACGAGCTGGACGCGGATGTACGGATGTGGTCAGGTTGCATAATATCACTTTCGGATGCGCCACAGGCAGAAAACCATCAGATACAACTTGCCTTGTCTTCCAGCCGAGTGCCTCGACGATTTTTCAACATGAGCTGAAGCCCTCCCCAGATCGCGAACAGAGGGGAGAGGAAATTTCGTTTCATTTTTGTATTCCTTTTCTTCTCATATCTAGATACATGTTTATCTAGGTCCTTGATGGAATTTTTGAACGTATACATGGCCTAAGAACTTCCTTTCAGGCCCGTTTTCAGGCAAACAGTTGTAAACAGCTCGAAAAGGGAAGATGATTCTGTCTGCTATGCTCAGCGATGTGTGGAACATGAAATAATGCATGCAACGGCAGAATGAAGGAGCGATGTCAAGCATTTCATCCGAGGGCAAGTCCTTATTTGCATTGTTCTGTCTAAAGATACTTTGCTGTACCGTCGACGTAATCAAGAGTGCAGCGAAGTAATGGCATGACGCCTGAAAAGTAATCGCATCATGAAACATGAAAATGGTTGGACGGACCAGATTACCGGTATTGCCGTTGACATATTCGAAAACTGGAGCATACCCATAAGGTACTTGTATCTCAAATATATTGCTGTGGTTGGGTCCCATCCAGGAATCTTTCCATATGCGAAGGTTCTGGCTGATATCACTCAAGGTAGTGGCAATACCGGTCGACAACGTCGGGTTCTCCCGCCTAGCGCAACTCTCGTCTCTCAATGCCAGGAGAGTTGAGATGTCAGCTATACAATCGAGAAGATGGTCCATCATGTCCTTGCGAGCGATTTCCAATGACCAAGGTATACTTCTCCAACCTTGATCTGAAAGAAGTGTTGGACAACGCCGCATGACAGAGAACCATGCCTACTCAGGGCTATATGAGTACGATTTAGAAATTTTGATTCCAATGTGCGAAGATTTACCTACCCCAAACAGTCTGCCTTCCACAAATACGTCATGTGCAATGCCCGCCACACAAGTCATAGGTCCACGGTGGGCAAAGAGAGCTAGCAAACCCCGGATGTGGGTTTCCGCATTCATTATGTTACGACGAAGGCTGCCCTATAATACACCATAATTAGACACATTCGGATAGATTCTTGAGAATTCTGACCTCATATAGCAGACAAACCGCGGTGACTATCAGCACTTCATAACCCTCCTCATTTCGATACCAGAGTCCGAGATGCCACCTGATCGAGGCCACAGATCACCATTGCATACTTCAATACCCGTGGGAGCAAGACCACGGGAGGGAACAGGAGTGTCAATGCTGCACGTGGAGCGCATGAGACTCGGCGATGTGCAGCTACATTGGCCGATAAAGAAGTCTGCGCAACTTGCCCTTGCATCACTGTCTGAGACCTACGCGCTATCAGTCAGCTCGCGCCAGATAAGACGCTCATCACTCACAGTAAATGAATACTGGTTCAATGTCAATCTTGTCTGTCATTTTCAAAGAAGGTACATAGGAGCAGCCTTACTCGTCTTCTAGCTGTCGCATCTGGATCTCATTTTCATCTGCGTATCTATTGAGTTTACCCAGCTCTTGCACAGCTGCCGCAAGGCGGCTTGCATCGGCCGAGCATAGTGCGGAAGCTGGGCGAAGCGAGTCGGTCTCCATGTCAGGTTGTGGTCGAGTTGGCTTAAAGAACGGTATTCGGATCGGTCTGCGCCGATGATTGCGTGGGTGCTTTCGTCCCGGTGACGCTGCGCTGGCATATCGAGTCTCCGACGATATTGATTGTCTTGTTCCAGAACTCATGATGAGTCGATGACAAGAAATGTTAGATGTTTATTGTACGTGTGGTATAAGTTATATCGTAGTAAATTTCAATACTCGAGAGGATAATCACGTCCGGTCAAGGCATACACAGTGTTCCAGCAGCGGCACAGTAGTCGAGAAGCATGTTATGAATATCGAAGACAATTTGTGTCCAAGCACAGAACCGTCCCATACATAATAACTGCACATACAATTCTCGGAACACATATGGGAATGGCCAAAATACGGTCTTCTGAATAACAATGCTAAGGTCACAATAATTATGAGTAGGAAATGGCCTTTTATCAGCGGCATTATAGCATGTCCAAATATGACGATACACCAAGAGGACCTTAATACAGACATGATCCGTTTTCAGGCCATAATAATAGCAGGGCGAGGAGTTGGGAAGCTATGCTCATCACCAGGTCAATTCTGGAGCAGTGTGGATTGGCAACATATATTAGTGCTCCCAGTGCAGTATACATGCGAACGTGAAACTCATATCGATACAAGCCGATCAAATTATCAATGTCTACTGTCATTCATAATTCTGATGCTCGAGACTTCTCGGCGCTGACCATTCCACTCAGTACTTTTCAAGCGGCCATCCAAGAGTCAGCGTTTCATTTGCACCAGTGGCAAGTCTATGCCAATAGGCTGCGTTACGACAACGACCGGCTGCGAAGCCAGGTCGAGCAGCTTATAAAGCAGACTGAAGAGATGCGCACAGCTCACAGGCTCCAGGAAGAACAGTCCCAGGGTCTGAAAGAACGCATCTCACTCTTGGAACGACAACTAGCAGCTGGCTGTGTGTTATCTGACGAACTCGATTATTTACCCACCCAGATCAGTAGCCCGGAGACTTCAATACACAGAACGCCAACGTACCATCCAGCTCCCAATCCTTCTCTTCTCGCGTACGACGAGGCTATGGCGTTGGTGGAGGTTTACGATCCCACGTCAAGATATCCGACTGGACAGAAGAGACAGGCGGACGAGGTGCTCGAGGGCGACGTCAAACGCCAGACACTAAGCAAAGACTGGCCTGAATCTTCCAATCATCATGAAGGTGCCTACTAGGACCGGGTATATGTAGGCTGCCGAGTTCAGGAAAGCTCCAGTGAGGTGGGTGCCGGGCTCGCCATAGCGGGGCGTCCGGAGAATTCTGGCCTGAGCTGCTTGCTCTCTGAGGCTATGGATAGGCACAAAAGACGGTGCATGTCATATTATCGCGTATCACAACGTTTGTAATTCATTGATTTTTTTTAAAGCAATAAGGTGTTTTCGTACGACATGGCCCCTCTCATTATCGATCAATTCAACTGGCATGGTTACGTGTAGTCGCCGTCGAGCTAGGTTTGCGTCGGTCGGGCCACAAACCATTAGCATGGACGACTCAGAATAGCGCTGTACTGTCTCAAACATTTCTTTCATAAGTAGAAATGTTTTAGATCTGCGGAAGGCATATCATGGAAGCCATCGCCACCTGAGCAGACATAAGACCAAGCATACTAGAATATCACTTCTGACCTAGTCGCTGATGAATCACACAGCTATTCCTCATGCACAAACACTTGATGGAACCTCCGGACAGCTATTCTTATAAACAAAATACATCATCAAGTTGTCTAGGACTACTGGTAGCAACGTAGGGCCTATTCTACATGCAAGACTACAGATGCAGGCAGATGTGGACAGATGTGGAGACAACTTTCGACACCCATCACTCAAAGGATTTCTGTATCTTCAGATTCGCCTCGGTAGACACTACTCGATCCATTTCAGTGTAACGGTATATCCGAATAATTCGAATCCCAGCTGTGAACCACAACTGTCTACTCAGCTGACGACTGAACTAGACATGCCGGCGTTGGTGAGGCACGGCCGTCCTTGGTCGGCAGCACAATCCGGTACGCATCGCTAGATCCCCGAGCTGTAACGACACGCGCATTCAGGCATGGTCTGTCGAGATACGTGCAGCAAATCTGTTGGAAGTACCCCCGTACAAGTACCTGTACGCACTAGCTGGGCTGTGTCGAGCTTGGGATCACATTGGAAAATCACGACTAATCTTATGGGGTAGTCACAGCTTTCACTGCAAACTTAACCCACCTAGAGGGATTGGGGAAAAGAAGGCGCATGTAGGCAGGGATAGCCGGGTTGCAAGGCTGCTGCGGTGTAAGGACGAAGACTCAGCCGCAAGGCTGCAATTCGAACAGTGACGCGAATCAAGATTCCCGAACAGGCCAAGAAGATCGGCTCAGGACCCTACTAGAGCAATAAGATGGTGATCTTCTTTATCAGGCACACCCTGTAAGAAAGGATCTGGTATGGCCTCATGTTATAGCACGCCACAGCTGCTCACCACCTCATGTCACGTGCGGCGGCCTCTTTGCTTTTGTTCGCCCTGTTTTATCGGCACGACTACACTTTCCATTGTTAACGCATTCATTCTTGCTTCATCAATCAACTGTATCAACACTCAAACAAATCTCTTTCCTTGCAACAGGTGTTCGGCGCCTCGAAGTTGGTATCACGTTGTAGGCAATGCACGAATCAGGCTCCTTCCAGTCATCAGGCCGCAGACGCGTGAAACCGGAGTTTGGCGGGTGGGGCAAAGGACGGCTTGATCCCGCCACGTGGAGTCACTTGGTCCTGGACACGCCTCGCAGATGGCAGCCAAAGGATTGTTCGGTCCGCAGCTGATTGCAGCCATGGGATGGTTCGGTCCCAACGATCCGTCTTGACCCAGCGCCGCTTGAGCTTCCTGAATCAGCCTCATTTTGACTTCAGGTTGTCGCGTGGCAGGAACTCGACATCCAGACAGCGTTCCTTGTGGTCGCTCGCTCCTCCAATGAACTTTGTCAACCCAAAACAGCTCCAGGCCATTCGGCATCCAAGCTCAAATACAATACGGCACAGCACGTGCACAACGCCACTGTCTTGGTGCCAATCGAGCCTTCGCCCAGCGCCAGACCAGGCACGACACGACCCGACACGATACCATCGGGTACAATGCGATCGAAGATACGTCTCGCGACGCACCCGCCTTCTACCGATCCCGCTGCTCGTCAACCATGCCGCTCGTTGACCACACACACGCACACACACGGGGCACCCGCCGCCGCCACCGACTGCCCTGTCTGCATGTACCGCCGTTTTGCATGACCGCTCATTCTGCCCATCGAACTATTAGGCTCCAACATAGCTCCCGCGACCTACCACGTCTCTGCTCTTGCCGCATCTGCCACGCCGAATCCCCGAGCCGGCCGCGACGGCCGGTCGCGACGTGCTGTCGGCGCCTCGAATTGTCAGTCTGGCGGACCGGCGATGAAGCAGAGCCTGAGCTCTGCACGCCCTCATAAATGGTCTGCCAGTCTCAACCAAAAAGATTGCAGATATGGTGGAGGAATCGCAAGGCCAAGGCCAGGGCCAAGCTGGCCACACCAGTTCCGAGCCCGCGTCGGCCACCTCTGAGAAGCATCCAGCCCCCGGCAGCTCGTCTGCCAACCACGACGCCGCCAGCAAGAGGCGCCGCGGCCTCGGGATCGTGACCCCTAACGCCTGTACCGAATGTCGCAAGAAGCGCGCCAAGGTATGTGTCCTCCCCTCCTCTTCCCTCCTCTCCCCTCCTCTCCCCTCTCCCTCTCCCTCTCCCTCTCCATCTCAACCTGAGCCCTGAGCTGACTCGTCCCTTTCCAAAGAATACTTCGTAAAGGATTTCCTCATGGCAGGCCCAGGTACTGCTCGCAAATCCTGGTGAGCGCACTGCTCGTCCTCGGCTGCTGGTTCTCGAACCAGCCCAACATCTGGGCCAACGTGAACAACCAGAGCACCTCGGGTGACCATTTCTTCAAGGAGACCCTGCGGCTCACCGCGAAAACAACCACCACATCCTGAAGACAATCCAAGCCTCGGGCAGCATGTCCCTTCGCGACGTGAGCTGCGAACGGGGTTCGGAAAGTTGGTGTTATGCTGGCCGAAGTGTGCGCATGGCCATCGAGATGGGCTTGCACCGACTCTGTGATGACGGCGACGAGGATGAGATCGCTGTGCAAGGTGCCACGTTCTGGGGCGCCCTTGCCCTGAGCCACGCATGGTCGCTGGCCACCAGCTCTCTGCCACAGTCTTCCTGCTTTTCACATCTCCCTCCGAAGCCTGCCATCCTTGATGACGTCGAGGCCTCCCTATGGGCGCCGTACACGAACGACGGTAAGCACAAGTATCTTCGCTGTGTCATCTGGTTTGTTTAGACTTGAACACAGATTATAACACTATAGGTGCACCTCTGCAGCCGTCCTGCGATTAGCCGTCCAATGTGCGGTCCGTGTACAACTGTTTCTGAGAACTGAGCGAGCTGGTCCAACAATCCTTGTACGTGCTGCACTCGCCCGGCAAGTCCATAACCCGCCGCGAACTCCTGAACATCTACACCCAGTACCTGAACTGGTATGACAGGACACCCGAGGTTCTGCGCCTGGGCCATAAGTTGGCCTCGGTTGCCGTGGCGCGTGCCTCCATGATTTGCCATTCTACTGGCTTTGGTTTGCCAAATACTTCTAAGACTGTAAGGCCACTGATGGGTTGGCGTGGCAAATCTACCAGCTGAGGCAGTTATTACGCAATGCGTACCGGTCGCAGTTCCGTATCGCGGCTGGTAGATGCCAAACTATTGCAGCAAAAGCGGGTCAGGCAGTTGCATCGAAGGATGGACGATGGATACCAACGGAACAGCTGCGTACATCGCTAGATTGACGGAGTTGCAACGGCAGAGAAGCAAACGGCAGAAATGATCGATCGGAAGAGTAGGTAGCGTAGTTGACGCTTGTTTACTACTTGAAATGTTGGTATAGGGGCGTTTGCTTCTGCCATCCAAGAGTGTCACTACCGACCGCTTATTGGCTCAAACCCAATAACTGCGAGTATTGTTACCCGGGCAAATGACCAATTCTGCTGGTCTGTAGCCCAGACAAGAAGTTATGGAACTACCGCTGATCTTCGACGAGCATGTATGACTGCCTAGAAGACCCATTGGCAATACAAAACCCAAACATTGTGCACATCGGCTGCTATTTCTTCCACACGGCCATATCGTCGAAATTTGTTCTTCTACCTATTTAACTACCCCACGCCTTCGAAACACCCTAACGCTGCAGAGCTAGCGTTCAGCTGGTTTCGCGTCAACCTTTCCCTTCTGACACAAATTTATAGGGTGATCTCTTCAGTCCTTTTCGCATCTTCGCAAGCCTACTAAGCCAATATGTTTCGTTATGTTCCTTTGCCGTTTGAGCTTTCAGGAACACGTAATAGTGAACCTTGCTTTCTTGCCAGTTTTGAACTCCTGGGCGCGTATGTCCTCAAAGACAATAGAGAGTTCATCCTTGGAGGAAATCTTGTATGCTATCACAGTACCTTCGTAGCCTCTCAAGTAATGGCAAATTGTTATCAAGTTATCACTCAGGGGCTATGAAAGTTAGTGAGTGGGCATTGAGCTGGAATCAAAATCTTCTCACTTTCTTGTCAAAGATAGGCAAGTGCCCGCATGATTCTTTTTCCGGGGTAGAATAGATTTGATAGGTGTTAGGATATTCACAGGTCTTGTCAACCACATTCGACCAGAGACTCGCTTGCTGGAGAAAGAAACGCGGCAGACTCTTGAGTCGCTTCAAAGCACCCTCACAGTGAAAGCTGATGATCTTTACGATCGGGATAATAACCGAACCAAAGGCTAATATAGCCGTGGCAAAGAGGATGTTCATGATATCGAAATACAGAAAGTTTTCCATGGTGCTTGCTGTGTTGTGCGGTAAGTGTAGGAAGCTTGAGATTCGTTGGAGATGGGATCGAATTAAGATTGGTAGGCACCTGACCGATGGAAGACGGTATTTATATTCACAGCTCGGCATTTAGACCATGGAAAAGGGATATTTCTACGGGATCGGTGCAACTCTGTAAGCCGCTGTACAAGGCACTAGGCTGGCTAATACGGCTCCTAGGCTCCATGACCAGGACCTGTGGCAATGAGTTCAGATGATACGTCAGCTCGGGACAGTTAGACTGCACCCGGACAGTCTGTCATCCCGGCCCTACCTTCGTATAAGAGACTTGAGCCCAATTTTGAACCGGGGCGCCCGACGTTCTGCCAAGACAGGCACACACCCATGCGGATGGCAACCGGCAGTTAGGGAGGACACGCCCCTTCGAGCGTTGTCTAATTCAAACTTCACAGTCTAGGTTCTCAACAAAACATGTCCTATTGCAAAGACCAAAGGTGTAGTAAGGTCGAGAGCGACGCACCCGTTTACGCAAGGTAGAGCTAGGGAGCAGAGAAGCGGGCCGATTGTATGGTCAACATCTTCAAACAAACAAGGCAGAATACAGTACGGTCACCGCTGCTTGGCCTCGATCGGATAGTATAATGCTCCGACCTCCAGTTACAATCATCAGCATCACAGTAGGCAGCCTAGGTGACAAAATGTAACTGTACACACAGGATGAAGTACAAATACTTTCCAGTTGCCGCCGGTAGCTTTCCAATATCACACGCCTTTCTCATGGCAGTCAATCCACGATGGCAATTCCTTATCATGTTGCTAACGGGAAAACTCGGCTTCTGCTATTCTCCGTATCTTTACAACTACGAGAGATTGTACATGACGCGTTAAACCTTTTGCGGGACGGTGCTGAACCTATAGCCGGGGCTGCTAACACTTCAGACCTGCATTCAAGTGTGAGTGAAATTGTGCAGCACATGAGAAGGGAACTGTCAAATGGGGTAGACGCAGCTTTCGATCAGATCGCTCGTGAACTCAATGCCCACTTCAACCCGCCCGGGCTGCCAGCCGTTCCTCCATCTGAAAGTATTACGCCCTCCACGAATACATCATTTCTGGATCTCACTCAGGATAGTCATCCATGTGGTGCGTGCCAAAGGACAATCACAAGTGGAAGAATCAGTGTGTATAGACATTGCGGCTGTGTAAGGCAGATCACCAATACTCCCTGCTCTTCGATGCTGACACTTCGCTAGCTAGTCTGTTCCTATTGTGCCTCATTTGCGGGTCGCACTCCCTGCTTAACGTCAGGCCATGAACCATATGGGAGACAGAAAGTATTACCGCTGTATGGTTCGGAAGAAGCATGCAGTATATGTTATGAACAAATCCAAGAGCCTGCTAGGCTCCGATGCTGTGGTGAGTCATGCCTAGCAACCGCGCTGTACACTTACTAAGTGACAGGCCATGTTTTTTGTCGGACATGTTTGGAAGGAAGTTGGCAGGAACGTCGACAAATCTATACTCAAAAATGTCCGACCTGTCGCAAGTCATGTTGCTCAATGACGGATCAACGCCATATGTTGAAGAACTGTGTGATACCATTACGTTTGAAACGGTCTACATTATAGCCTTGTGCAGCCCGGTAGGCCACTGCGTACTTGGGAGGAATACATGTTTCTATGGCTCTGATGTAGCTCTGATGTTGGTAATTCAGTACACTCTAGCATTGCTGGTAGGCGGTTCTTCATTAACAAGGATCTAGTGATTCGCCAAACTACTCCCCTCTTCCATCCATACCGGTAATTGCCAGCGGAATTTGATATCCGGCTCCTGACAGTTGAGCAACCCAGTAGCACTCATGTTTGACTGGCCCGCCTTATTTGCGGTATCTATTGCCTGCTGAACGATGTTTCGAAGATCGCCGTCGCCAAAATGATAGTGCCAGGCACTACTGCCGGATTGCGGTTCACCCCACCACAGAAATCCAAATGAGCAACTTCCGGCACGAATCAATAATTGCGTCTTTCTAGATTCATACCAGTCTTCTTGACTCCAAAGTCCATGGCAAAAGTTAATTTCACCCAGTAATGATACGATGATCTCACAGTCCTCAACTCTGGCGGAAAATTCTGGGAAAACTGTCGACATGTCCGTGACCGTCGTGTTACCTGATCTCCTCTCGTCCTTTGAAGCCTGGGCCCTCTACTGACAAGACAAATGTGAATACATCTTCTGGTACCCCTAAGCTCGAGATCAAGGCTTCAAATTGGGTGTCCTCCAAATGTTCGGTTCGGTTGAGACCTCGTAGGTGGATCATGGACGGTCGCTGAAGAATAACATGATATACTAAAGATATTACAGGCCACCTGGGTCTTTGGAGTTGAAGTTGTATGACACTCTCTGCGCGAACACTCAGCTGTTGTTTCTCTCGTGCCTGTCGCTCGTTGAGTTGCGAAGGCTGCATAGATCTACTGGACATTGCCAGCAGTGCCTGAATCGCTCCCCGATCATCATTGTTGAGTCTGTCCATTGTTATTGTTTGAAGGAATAATCTGAGAATGGACTATGATGATGGTAGCAGAGGAACCAACGTCTCGTGTTGGCAGCTAAAAGAAAAGTCTAAACAGCAAACGGGTGGAAGTAGGATCAGATGGGGCAGAGAATAAAATGTAAGGGGAAAGATGCGAGAATCACTGGTCCATACACGGCGAGAGCCTTGCCTTATATGCTCAAGAAAGTGTAATAGCAATGGAACTTAAACCATTATGGGTCCAGCGTTTGGCCAGTTCGCAGAAGGTATCTCATGCTTACTTAAGAGCGCCCTGCTGCATTTGTATTCCACTAGTCTGTCCCCTGACGAGCAGCTCCACGCGGCTACACGCTGTACACAATGCATTGTTGCTTCATGCACTCCAATAAAACTTTGTTAATGAGCAGGGCCTGGCCGGCTTGCTCAATCCGACGAGCTACGGGTGCAGGACAGCCGCGTAAGAACTCCTCTACATAGCGACCCTTATCAACAGGGGAAATGCCAGAGAGGTGCTTGTAGAGTATCTGATAAGAAGGAAAGAATTTTGGATTTCTTCTCAGCAGGTCGTAAAGCTGACAAGGTACAGCTCTCCATAGTCGATTCATTAGTGTCGTGATTTCACGGATTGTGCTCAGTGGCAGCTGAGCGTGGTGTTGTAACAATAGCTTCGCTAGCGTGGGTCTGCCATGTTTGGTGCAAAGCGCCCAATCCAAGGCCGACATGCCCTGCCGGTCCCGTTCGTTGACCTTGAGTAGTGGACTTGCCAGGAGACGTGCTGCTTCCCATTCTCTTTTCATCCGGGTAAGCCGGATGAGGAGTGGCTGGCTCTCGTTGTTATAGGTGATCAACATGTTCGGGTCGCCGCCTTCCTCAAGGAACCTTCCGATGACCACCTCTCGTTGTCCTCTCGTTCCTTGCGGGTAGTCTTGGGACGTGAAGCAGGCGCAGGACAGTGGCTTTGTAGGCTGGCGGCCCTGCTGATCCAGCATTACCTCCATCTTCCCACCCGCGTCTGCTCCGTGATTGAGGAGCTCCATCACAAGATCCCATCGATGAACTATAATCGCGATGCTAAGTGGGCTCAGGTACTGTCCTCGGCAAATCGTTGGCTTATTCACATCCGCGCCGAGGCGAATCAAGCCCCCTAACAAGTCCTTACTCACTCGAGGAGATGACAATGCGTAGATAAACGGCGTATGGCCTCGGTCATCCGGCTGATTGGTGTCGAATCCATAGTGCTGGACGAGACGTTTGATCATTTCAAGGAGGCCTCCAGCGGCGGCAAGATGAAGCGCTGTTATGCCAGACATGACTGCGGTCGGGGACGCACCATGATCCAGTAGCTTCATCGCAGCCATTTGTCTCCTATAAGCGAGAGCGACAAAGAGAGCAGGCCAGTATGGCGAGATTTGCTCTGATGATGCGTCAAAGGGTCGAGTATCGATGATACCAATCTCATCTTGATGATGAAGCAACCAGTTGAAAATTCTGGTATGATTCTGTAACAAAGCCGAAGCCAGTAGAGTTATATTTGAAGGCCTGCTGACCCTACAAGATATTCCAAAAACGGCGTCACTGAGCTGCGGCCGGACGTTCCAAATATCTCGAATGTCTGCGACCTGCAAGCTGACGTTGGATTTTCTGCATCGATCCAGGAACAGCATGGAAAAGGTTTCTCCATGAATACATTGCATCGCGAAACGGACCGACGCACTTCCTTGGTGGATAAGCCCGTAGGCTGTAGCATTTCGCATTTGCGCAGAGCAACAAAATAAGGAGAACTGGTTTTGCAATGGCAGGAGCGAGGAGATCATCTGAAGCAGCTCGAGTGGCAGGGTTTCCAATGATGCCATCGTAATTATTGGGTATGGACAGATTCGAGTTCAGCGGCAGATGTCCGAGATGATGGTGAGTGACTAAACAGGTCAAGGTTAGGTATGCGACTCGAACTTATAGAATTATTTGCAGTGCAGATGCGCTAAGGCCATCGCGTGGAAGTGGAACGAATCTGCCTTGAAAGATGTCCTGTGCTAATATAGGTACCCCTACCTTGGACCAAAAGGGGCCATTGCTCCACCGGAATATGAGGGAAACAACAAGTGCCGTCATGGTACGTCACCAACGATAACCTCCAGCCTTCACATCGTCTTTCCCAGGCCGGAAATAGCATCTCATACGTCCACTTTACTTTGAGAGTACCACAGTAATACGGGCTTGAACGGCATGGCCGCCCAAGCACCAATCATGATAACAGGGTTTCGGGGTCGCCGACCATAATAGACCATACGGTAGCTTTAGAGGTTTTCGACCTTGGGCATAGATCATGGGCAAGTCATTCAAGTGTTATCTGTGCTGACCATGTGATAAACCATCCCTTGAACCAGGCTAGTATGATAAACGGTAGCTAGATTAGTGGTGATGACAATCCCTTTTCACCGTAAGCTGAACGCACTTTGTGGCCTTTGTACGGCACAACTACAATCACTTTCAGCAGCTACCGGCCGGGGCAATTTGCCTCAAGACCCCAAAAGCTTCACTGAAGTCGGATAGATTCATTCCTCGGCCGCCCGTTGACTGGACGCCCGTTGATCGGAAGATCCAAGCCCACAAGTTAGTATTTAAACAGCTAAATCTCGTACTATCTCCCACAACACCTTATTTTGTTACTTTATTCTTTGCACACTCGTACAAGCACAGTATAGAAATCACAATGATGCAATGCATGATTCATAGAACCGAGAATAAGATCACGAGTCTTGAGGTGAACGATCTGACATTGTTTGAAGAATTGCATCGTGCTATGCCAGTTGCCAACATGGGAATAACCAAAACCAGAAGCAAAAAAGTACTCTGTGAAGAGGCCTTTTTTGAAATCCGAAAGATTCGTGGATATCGACGGCTATCTAATGGTGAAATCGAGTTGTTAGTTGAATAAGAGGGTTTTCCTGTAAAAGGCGCGACATTTGAGCTCGAAGAAAATATTCAGGAGGATGCCCCAGAGGCTTTTTGTGAATTATGGAGGCAGCCTGAAAATAGATTTTGAGACCACCTTGATATTGGCCTTCAGAGGAATACTTTCAAGTTTGAGCTCAGCATTACATTCTGGCAACCCATACTGTGTAACACCTCCTCCGCGCGCAATCATTTGTGAAAGTAGAAGATCTCCAACTAGTGATCAGCCACTGCGACTCAGACGTTTAACTGGGACATCAAATTACACAATTATCCCAAAAGCGAGGAATTCGAAAACACGAGACTCGTTTCTTCGCGAAAGCCCTCAGACAAGCCGCTATATGGCCAGACCTACATATTCCGCTGCGAACGGCCTGGACCTGAAAAACATCAAGGAATTCGGCAAACTCTCGACCAGGTCTGGCTGCTCCTTTTACTATGGCGGGCACGTTGTCGATATATTCTCGTACACTAAGAAAACGTCAAGAAATGGCGCGGTGACGAAGAAACCGGGCGTGGCCCGGTCGAGGAGATCCGTCAAAAAGTGATCGAGATCTCGGATAGCGAGAGCGATTCTGAGGCGACTACTCGCGCGAGGGGGCAGACTTCGCCAGTCTCAACGCTTGGAAGAAATCATCAAGGTTGGCACGCTGATATGCTTCCAGTAGGCGGAGTGTCTCAGGCCGTCCTATGGTATGCCAGAAGCATCGTAGAAATTGCCTTCTCTGACCCGTGAGAATCACGAGCAAGCAGCGCAGAACTGCTGGCCGCGCGAGTACATAATACTTCAAGGGATAGCTCCTCCGAGCCACTGCACACCGGCTTCAGATTGACCCTTCTAATCGAACTGCGGTTAGATGAGGGAACAGCCCTATCGTTCGTCTACGTCGAGCAGGGTGGCGCATGAGCACATGGAACCCCTCCGAATTATATATAAGGGAGCAAAGCCGCCGAATGCCATCGACACCCTTCTCTCCTTTTCCGAACATCTTATCCTTCCATTTTTGCGACGACTTCTGCAATGGCTCATCTCAAAGCGTTCCATCATCATGGTGGGAACCAACTGTACCATCAAATCAAGCCGCTCTCATCATTTGGAGCGTATCCTTTGGAGCCATGGTGTATCAATGAGTTCGACACCTCTGAGAGTCTGTTTGGCCAAGAGACTGCCGTCATACCCAGCGTCTCAGGAAAGCCACAAGCATTTGACGATACCTTGTTACCACCACAAGAAGAGCGGGCAGACGAAGAAAGCCTTGAGCCCATCCAGTCAATCTTCAACCAGAAACTCAGCCCGCCGCCCTCTCCGAGTGCCCGTGTCGACGGTGTTTGCGACCCGCTCTGCCTAGGCACCATCACTGATTGCAGGGAGGGCTGTCATTGTGTTCTTGGCGAATGCGCGTTCGCTGACACGACACTCTACGGCAATGCGCCTAGCCCTCCGTTCGTTGATTCAAACGACCGAGAAGAGATTGGGCTTGGTAACTGGGACGAAACATTTTTCAGAGTCGCGTCTGATATTGCATTATCGGACTTTGACATACCGACACGTCCTGCGAGACAAAGTCCGGTCCTAAAGACTCAAAAGTATAGGAAAGCACAGAAGAAAAGGCAACGTGCTAGGAGACAGCCGAAGGTGCGGCATGGCCGAAACTCCCGTGTCCGTATCCTCAAGGTAGAGCTAGGAAGTGGAGAGAAAATGCAGGTATTTCAGTGGAGAAGAGGGATATGGAACAGCTCAAATGAGGGCCAGCACAAGAATCCGATCGATCTCATGACTCCTGGAGCTTGGACGCATCTTTCTATTACTATCCAAGCAGATGGGAGGTCCAGACCCTTGAATGTTAATTGGTGTCACAAGACGTTGACGTTCTCTGTAGTGAACACTACAACTGGCGAGGTCGCCTACTTGTCCAAAGACCAGGTTCAAGATATGGTGGAGGAAGTTGCAGCGGGAAGCATAGTTCATTGGGATCTCTTGTCGACGGATCACTATGTTTGATCAAACTTGATCACTGAGTCGCCTGCTACTGTCAGGCCAAGTACAACGAACGTACACAGTAGACGCGGCCTGCTTCGAGCATTCCGCTCGTCCTCGATAGGAGATACAAGCATTTTTGAAAACCAAACGTGCTAGAACGTACTGAATTATCTTCATCAGAGCCATAGAACCATATATTTCTTCGAAGTAGGCAGCGGCCTGTCAAGCTTCACAAGTTTATCATGCAGACCGTCCTAAGCGTACTGATATCACGCAGTTGTTGAACATATGGCGTCGATCCGTCATCATTGAGCAACATGGCTTGCGACAGGTCGGACAATTTTGCGTGTAGATTTGTCGATGTTCCTGCCAACTTTCTTCCAAACATGCCCGACAAAATACATGGCCTGTCGTTTAGTAAGTGCATATTACGGCTACTAGGAATGGCTCACCACAGCATCGGAGCCTAGCAGGCTCTTTAATTATTTCATCATAACAAATACTACATGCTGCTTCCAAACCATATAGCGGCAATATTCTCTGTCTCCCAAATGGTTCATGGCCTGGCGTTAAGCAGGGAGTGCGACCTGAAAATGAGGCGCAACAGGAACAGACTGGCTAGCGTAGTGTCAGCACCGAAGAGAAAGTGGTATTGGTGATCTGCCTTACACAGCCGCAATGTCTGAATACACTGGTTTCTCCACTCGTGATTGTCCTTTGGCACGCACCACATGAATGGACGTCCTGAATGAGATCGAGAATTGATGTATTCATGGAGGGTGGAATACTTTCAGGTGAAGGAACGGCTGGAAGCCCGGGCGGGTTGAGCTGGGTATTGAGTTCTCGAGCGATTTGGTCGAAAGCTGCGTCTATCCCCTTTGTCAGCTCCCTTCTCATGTGTTGCACAATCTCACTCCAAATTGTATATAGGTCTGAACTGCTACTAGACCCCGATATAGGTTCAACACGATCCCGCAAAAGACTTAGAGCGTCATGTACAAATTCCCGCAGTTGTAAAGAGACGGAGAATAGGAGAAGCTGAGTTCTCTCGTCAACAATATGATAAGGAATTTCCATTGTGGATCGACTGCCATGAAAAAGACGTGCCATTTGAAAGCAAACTGCGGGAAACTGAAAAGTATTTATACTTTATCCCGTATGTACAGTCACGTTCTTTCACCCAGGCTGCCAAGTGCGATGTTCACGCTCGGAGCATTACACTATCCGATCGAGGACAAGCAGTGGTGACCATACTATATTCTGCCTTATTTGTTTGAATATGTTACCATGCAATCGGTCTGCTTCTCTGCTCCATAGATCTACCTTGCGTAGACAGGCGCGTCGCTTCTGACCTTGCTACACTATTCGGCATGAAATCTCCCTGGTCCGCCGGTATGTCAAGTTTAATCATGTTAAAGAAAGACTCAAAGTTGGGTTCTTGACCAGGGAGCCTGTTATTGTTAGTGACAACGTTGTAACTATTGTCTTGCTCGACTTACGCCCGCTTCAATTGCTGTGCCAGACTACTTGCAGAATCTATAGTATGAGTACTCCATCCAAACTTGTGCATACATCTCTTCAAGAGATCGCTTGGGGTATCCTTGGACACCTCCAGGGTGATTTTCGTTACGGAAGAAATGGCCGTCAAGTGGACGTTGGCTAATTTGAGTGCATTGGTGGCTGCCTCATAGTCTTCCAAGTTGTCGAGCCACGTTCCCATATTCTTTGTACTGTATAGTGATGTCGTGATTGAATTCAAATTCACGCAACTGCGTTGGATACTGGCGAGAACGCTCAAGTCGTCGTTGTGGACGGTAATATCATGGCGATCCAGGTTTTGAAATCTTGGGGCATTCATATAAATTTGTCCAATGTTTGCAGCATTGGCCGATCCAATACGTCGTAGAAAAAGAGCGACGTCCTCGCTGGAAGCCGAAGTGAGGTCAAAGCAGTTCTTGGTGTAGAATACTGCGCTCGCTTCGACATGAATGGTTTTGTTGATGCGGAATAGTCCTACCGGGAACAAGGTCGGTCGACGATAGGAGCGACATGGATTGATATGTTCGTCTTCTGACACTAGCAAAAGTGCATAAACCTGGTTGCGAAGCTCGCCAGGAATGCTGAGAAAGCCGGTCGCTGCTTCAATGTTGGCTCGCTGTTCAAGATCTGTAAACCTTGGCAGATGTCAGAGTTTGGCAAGCCGCACCTACCTCGTTGTCATTTTTCTGCTCTAAAGCCAATGGCTCGGCCGTTTTAACGAATTCAAACCCCAAACTTTGCTGCATTTTACGAGGCATGTGACTCCGGTCGAGAAAAGAAAAGTCGTCGTGCTATATATGTTGTGACCCTTTTCGCTGACCTTGAGAGTAGTGGAATTGAGTCTGGATTGAAATCAATGATCTACACATGGGATCGGCTGAAGAGCCCAATATTTAAAGGAGCGCGGCCGGACTAAAGCTGCCTTACTGCCTGATAATCACATGGCCAAGTGCTACAAGACACGAGTCGGGTACAGGGACAGTACAGAGCTGCTACAGCATGCGCGACCGCATAGCGCACCTGTCTTCCCGCCATGCTTTAGTTCTAGGCTTTGGACGCAATAATGTTGTCGTGCCTGAGATAAGTTCTGAATACTTGATGTTACCTTGACACGGTGGCTGAACCAACGAAACGCCGTCCTGGACACTCCTGCCAAACCTGCTCAGGAGTCCCGCCGGAGAAGCCAAACGGTGGCTGGTTTCATAAATGGCAACGGTATTAGGGTGATGCTCGTATCGCTTCATGCCGGTAACTGTGGCTTGAATCTCAGTGCTGCATCTCATGTCATTCTTATGGACCCATGCTGGAACCCGCTCGTGGAAGACCAAGCCATTGGCCGGGCACATCGCATTGGCCAAACGCAGGAAGTACAAGTCCATCGGATACTGGCTGAGGGAACAGTCGAGGATCGTATGTCGAGTTGCAGCAGCGAAAGCGGGCTCAGGTCGATGCTGCGTTAGACGAAGCGGCGGCTCAATCTGTAGGCTGTCTAGTTCCGGGAAGCTCAGTAAGGTGGGTGCCGGGGTCGGGTAGCGGGGTGTATGGAGGATTCTGGCTTGAGCCTCTTGCCCTCTCAAACTACGGATAGGGGCAAAAGACGCTGCATGGCAGGTTCATTGCGCATTACAAGTTTGATATTTTATTGAATTTGAGTTATAATGACGTTTTGTATGATATGCGCCCTTTCGTTATCGAACATCACGTTCGGCATGGTTGCTGGTAGTCTCCGCCGAGGTACATCTGCGTCAGTCCGGGCCACGGATACTTCATGGACTCGCACCACGGCGATATTTTGTGCAGAATACATGCTCCAACGCGTTCAGTGCCATTGAAAACAATGTAGTGCATAGTCAATACGCAAAACTCAGTTCTAGACAGATGTAAAGACAACTTCCTAGACGCAAGTATAAGCAGCCCTCAAAGGCATTTCTCTGCCTTCAGATTCGTGTTGGTAGACAGCGCGAACCTCCAGCGGTTGCAGTGCGACCCCAAGACAGACCAGTCCTCATCCGTGCGGAAATGGCGAAAGTTCGTCTGAGGGGCGACCAGAAAGAGCGTTGTCTGGATGTCGAGTTCTTGCCACGACCTGAAGTTGAATGAGGCTAATCCGCAAAGTGGTCGAAATCTGCGGGACTGCAATTGACTGCGGGGGCATGATCTGGCGCAGGTACAGAAGGTTGCCTGCAGCGATTACAGCCACTGGGGCGCCATCGGTCCCACTGGCAGCTTAGGCCACATGAGTCCTGCTGCCCATGATTCGACTTCAGGTCGTGGCAGGAAGTCGACGTCCCACAGCGACGCGCTTTTGGGTCACTCTGCAAATGGACCCCATTTCAGGACGTTCCCCTTCTGTTCATTTGTAGGCCCACTGGCCTGCTTGGCGCGCGAGGATTATGGACATTTCTGGCCACCAGCGCTTCGGCCGTGTTAGTCTACAGAAGTGTCCTTGGGCTTGCAACGCGACGTCGAGCTGGTCTTGACAGCCCATTGTTCGGTGATTTTGATCTCCGAGCAAGAAGGTATTTGTCGCCATGCAGAGTGTTGTGTAAAATTTGGCGTCAAACTCTGCAGAGTTGGAAGGAAATCAATCAGGAAGGATGAGAGCAACGAATTTTCATAGACCTAAGGTCTGTTTACCAAGGGCCTAAGGACCGGCAAGACTTGCTCCCCAGGCTCTTATTTTCTGGCGTTCAAAAGTGGTCCTCTTTACGACGATGATGGACTGCCTTCCGGCAACCGCAAGAGGTACCTGTTTAACAAGTTGTTTGCACCTACCACAGGAATAATGCAAGAGGAGGCTGATGTGTATTGGTGGGCTGAACTGAGGCTGGTTGTATCCGCCCACTGAAGGTGCGCTAGAAAATGCCCCGCCATGAACTAAACCCGCTATCTTGCAGCCATGCGTCTGGTCCCCCTAAAACAGCTCTAGGTCATTCTAGCGTGCGGCTACTTCCTGGTTGACGTGCCATTGTCCTTTTATTCGCCTCTTTTAGTCGCTACCTCTTGACCTTGGGTGCGTCACGTTGTGGGACAATGCACGAATAAGGCTCGACTCTGCACGAGACAATTGCTGATCACTCTGGGGCCTGCCATGGAGCCAGTCCGGCGCGAGAACAGAAATGTTGGATTTAAGGTGTCACTTCCCAGCCATCAGGCTGTAGGCGCGTTGTGTTCAGGTGGGGGCAAAGGGTCGGTCTGATCCCGACCGCCACGGGCAGTCTGCATTGGGGCCTGAACCTGGAAACATTTGGTCCCTGGAAAACACCACACCAAGCTCAGAACAAATTTTTGGAAACGCGTGAAAACTTGCGAAAACCATAGTAGGCCTGGGTCTTCGTAGGCAATTATCAAGGAAAACGCGTCCAAAACGCGTCTTTTCGCGATAATGGCGCCTAGATGGCCACAGGTCAACATTGGCCCAGAACACATCAATGAGCACGCCGCATACCTCCGGGAAGCCTGCAATCAACTGCAAGCCGTAGAGAAAGGCAGACTGAATCAGGTGCCATGGAATATAGTCCAGCAATACATTGCATCCACCGTTTCACTCGTCGGTAAGGTTCTTCAACAGCCACCGATGAGCGACCTCCTTCACCATATCCAAGACGCCGCTAAGTGTACGCAAACAATTCAAAGAGACATCAGTGTGATCAAAACATCGGTAGGACTAGGCACCTCTCCACCACATACACACAACTTCAATGGAGGCAGAGCAACAGCTGCGACATGGGCACAGGTAGCAGCGCAGGTCAAGGGACCCCCTCCACACCCACCGCCAGTCCCACTAGGCATGAAGACAACCAAGACACCATCCACCGTCACAGCATACAAGGACCGATCAGTGACCGTCAAGCTCAAGGATCACGGTATCGCCCAACGATTCAGAGCTCTCGCTGCAAGCAAGATACGACATCAAGTAGAGACATCAATTCGCGACAATACAACAACCAAGCATATCAAGATTGTCGCCGCCCACCAACTCAAAAGTGGTGACATCCAAATCTTTACAGGCTCCATGGCTGAAGCCATGAAGCTGCAAAGCAACAGGGGATGGCTGCGAGGTCTTGGCGAGCATGCTGAACTGATCATACCCACTTACGGCGTCATTGTCCACGGTATCGCTACCAACTCTATCAACATCAAGGACCAAGAAGCAACTATTCAAAAAATAGTGGCAGACAACTATACAGTGATCCCCAAGGCAGAGATATCGTACGTAGGATGGCTGACCAAAGAATCTCCACTTAAACGCGCCTCGTCGATTGTAGGGGAGTTTACAGACCCAGAAATGGCCAACGCTATCATTTACGCAGGAATGGCATGGGAAGGACAAATTCACACTGGTCAACTCTACGACCGCGCTTGCAGGGTAAAGCAATGCTTCCGCTGTTACAATTATGGTCACATCGGCACTCAATGTGATGCAGCCCAGACATGTGGCTATTGCGCTGAACTGCACGAGACTAAAGATTGCAAGCAGAAGGGAGCAGATGGATTTGCACCCCGATGCGCAGTGTGCAAAGGCGTCCATACAGCGTGGAGCAATGCCTGCCCAGCAAGGAAGAAAGAATTGGGAAGAGTTGAGCAAGCCAAGCAAACTCGAAACATCTACTGGACTATTGCCCCGAAGAATGATACCTCCAACCAGGACCCTATACAAGCCAGAGACCGCCATATACGTGACGGCCCGATTGCCCACACAACTACAGACCCGACGACTCAACCAGGAAGTATGGCAAGAATTACCTCGGAACCAAGAAACACAGAAATGGTGCTGCGGACACAGCAAGTACCACCAATGACAACTGGACGTCGAGCATCAGCAGATGGATCAATAGCAGAGGACTGGGCCACACCGGCAACACAACGAGGAGTCTCATGGCAACCAGTGGAACAAGAGGATATACCAATCGACCCACAACTCCTGGGATTCGGGACGCCCACTGGGCCCCGCCTCACAAACGATATGCACAATGGAGGATCGACTGCCAGCGCATTGATCCAATCGACGACAGAAGGCCAATTCAGCGCAGAAGGAGAGTTCTCGGTAGAAGACGCAGACGCCTGGCTGGCGAACATCATGCAAAATGAAGTGAATGATTGCCAGACCGACAGACCAGGCGAGGCGTTGTCGCCACCAACATCTATAGCCACCGAAACTCGGGCAAACCATGGGAGGATTTACAGAGCATGCTCCTGCCCTGAACACCAGGGCATATATGACCACTGGCCACTGCGGGACGCAAACCTCACCATTGCGAGATGTATGAGGATCTGCCCTTATTGCGGCAAGGACGCCCATGCACCAACTAACCTCCGGAAACATCTATGGAGGATGGAGTGCGCTGGGAGAAATCTGACGGTAAATGTCGGGGTTATTGGACGAAACCGTGACCAGCAACCAAGCTGGACCGCGAAAGAACCCCAAGCAACAAACCCGCCATCGCAACCGGAAAGACCTAGAGAGCAAGCAAACGGGCAATCAACCATGCGCGCAACGAGGAGTCAGTCAATCACAAACAGAGCTAACTCAACACCTTCCGAATGTTAGGACGCCAGGAATTACGCATCTTACAGTACAACGTACAAAAATCGAAAGATATCGTCATGGCCAGCCTTTTTCAAAATTCCAGGATCCTGGAATACGATATCTTGGCAATACAGGAACCTTGGCGAAACCCATTTATCAACACGTCCTACCACCCTCTCAAGTCGCACTTCCAGCTAATATATCTCGACGATGCTGCCACAAGAGTGTGCTTCTACATCAACAAACGCATCAACCCTGCCACCTGGAGCGCGAGCCATCGGTCGAAAGACATCAGTGTGTTGAGAATCTCTAATACCTCCGGCAAAAACATACATATCTTCAATGTGTATAATGAAACAACCACAGATACCCTCTCGACATTGGCCAATGCCTTAGACGCCCTCAGCCAACAAGACGGCGTCGTGATTCTGGGAGATTTCAACATTCATCACCCCCTTTGGTCGACAGCTAGTCACCACACCGGAAGCAGCCTGAGCGCTCAACACCTCCTAGCAATCTTAGAGAGCTCGCAACTCCATTTACTTACAACCCCGGGAGCCCCAACACATCGATGGAAAGGGGGTGAGTCTACTATCGATTTGACCTTTGCTTCCGAGGATGTGGCGTCTCGCATGATCAAGTGCAGGATCGACAAATCCCTTGATTGCGATTCGGACCACCTCCCTATCGCCACGGTTATAGACTGGAGCGGGGAGCTATTAGCACCGGAAAGGAAGCGTTTATGGACAAAAACCGACTCGTCAAGGCTCCGGCAAGTAGTGCAAGATTACGTCCCCAGACTAGACGAAATCATCCAGCTCGGGGACGAGGAGGGTATAGACAGGCTGGTCGTCACCATTGTCGAAGCGCTGAACGCCGGCATCGAGGCGTCAACACCCTGGTCCAACCCATCCTCCCGGTCTACGGCGGGCTTCAACCAGGAATGCAAAGATATATGTATAGTGAATTTTAAATCTAATTTTAATATGTTAATTAAAATTGCTAAAGAAGATTAAAAATATAGGAAGTAAAGGTAATATAAATCAAACAGCTCTTTGTCCAACGACTACGCCGGAGGTGGCAACGATCAAGGCTGGACGTGGACTTTGAGACATACCGACAAGCGCGGAATAGGAAAGGTAGACTGATCCAGAAAATGCTGCGCACCACCCATCGTCAAAGGGTGGAGAACGCGTCTGTATCGTCATCAGGCCTGTGGAAGTTAGTCAAGTGGGCCAAGAACCGGCACGAAGTGTCGACTGCATGCACTCTGGCACTAGCGAAGCCGAATGGAGACACCGCGAACGAGCCGGAAGAGAAGGCCAAGATATTGCGACAGTCCTTCTTCCCCCCGCCGTGTACAGCGGACCTCTCGGACCTGGTGGGATACCAGTACCCTCCGCCCATCGAATGCCCCGACATTACGATTACGGAGATCGAGCGGGCAGTACGCCGAACGTCTCCAAACAAGGCCTCGGGCGTGGATGGCATCACCAATGGTATCTTACACCAAACCATAGATATCCTTCTCCCGAGCCTCCATAGGCTCTACAATGCATGCCTTCAACTGGGTCATTGCCCTAAACACTTCAAGGAGTCAATCACGGTCGTCCTCAGAAAGCCGGGAAAGGACGACTATACACAGCCTAAGGCATATCGACCCATAGCCCTGCTCAACACTCTGGGAAAGGTCCTAGAAGCCATTGTAGCGAACCGTCTAGCATACCTAGCTGACGTACATCATCTCCTCCCAAGCCGACACACCGGAGGCCGGAAACTCAGGTCGACAGAGCACGCCATGCACCTCATACTCCAGAGAATCCACCAAGCATGGTCCGAAGGCAAGGTAGCTTCACTACTACTATTGGACGTCTCAGGTGCATATGACAACGTCTCCCGAGAACGGCTATTACATAATCTCCGCAAACGCCGGATCGGCCTACCAATTGTACGCTGGGTAAACTCCTTCCTCAGTGAACGGTCTACCACAATCAAACTGCGGGAATACACTGCCCCGTCGACACCTATCCAGACCGGGATCCCACAAGGTTCGCCGGCCTCACCCTATCTGTACCTCTTCTACAACGCAGACCTCATCGAGACCTGCAAGACGCAGGACACGGAGGCGGCTGGTTACATTGACGACGCCTCAATCCTAGCCGTAGGCCCCTCAGCGCCGCACAATTGTAAAACACTCAAAAGGATCCACCGGGAGGCCGAAGAATGGGCCGCTAAGCACGGGTCCCAATTCGCCCCAGCAAAGTATGAACTCGTCCATTTCACCAGAGACCCGAAGCAGAACAACACGCATGCCTTGCGCCTACCGCATGCCACAATCAAGGCCTCGCCATCATGCCGGTACCTAGGCGTCCAGATGGACAGTAGGCTATGGTGGGATGACCACCGTAAGAAGGTCGAAGAAAGGGCAACGCTACGGCTCTCAGCGCTATCCGCTCTAGCTTCCTCCACGTGGGGCACCGGAGCAGCCAACCTGAGACTAGTATACAAGGCAATGGTAGTACCTCAGATGCTATACGGGTGCTCCGCGTGGTATCACCCGGGTAGTAGCCAGGCAGGCAGAGGTAGCGCAATGGTGGCGGCGATCAGGAGAATACAGAAACGGGCGGCCCAGACCATCACGGGGGCTTTCCGTACCACGGCTGGCGCCGCAGTGGATGTTGAAGCACACCTGCTCCCGGTGCCGCAGCAACTCGAGCAAACGGCACTAGAGGCAGTTATGCGCATCCGGACCACCCCTCTATACGACGAAATGGTCTCGCAGACCCAGAGGTCAAGGGGATCGGGCGTCGCACGCACCATAACACGCACCACCAGAAGCTCTCTAGACCAGATATCAAGCATCCTGGAAAGCAAATACAAGGTGCCACTCAACCTATTAGAAAAGCGGCAGCCACACGTGGTACCTCCCTGGTGGACACCACCATCAGTAGATATCAATCCAGATGCCAAGCAAGCCGTCAAGGACCACGATGCCACAAAGCCGGGCATAATTCGAATCTAAACCGACGGAAGTGGCATCCAAGGCCACATTGGCGCGGCGGCGATAACACTGTGGGGAGCGGAAAACCGAGTGCGTACTAAGCGACTGGTATACATGGGTCCATCAACAACCTCAACCGTATACGCAGCGGAGCTCAAGGGCCTGGGGTTGGCGTTAGGGATCTTACATGATATACACACCAAAACTAACAGCCCAGGCCGATGTGTCATCTTCACTGACAATCAGGCTGCCCTCCAAGCAATACAGAACCCTAAATGCCCATCTGGACAGTACATCCTGATCGAGACGATAGAGGCACTGGATGAGCTCCGCAGCCATGGCTGGGAGATACAATTCCGCTGGATTCCCGCGCACGTCGGAGTGCCGGGCAACGAGGCGGCAGACGAGGCGGCGAAGGAGGCTGCAAGGCCGCACCCACCGGTCACAGAATCGCCAGGAACAGGTACCCTTCGGATCCTGACGGCAACCACGAAGACCCGGATTCGCCAAGAGCTGATAAATGAATGGGAGGATTCCTGGACCAAGGCCAAACACGGACGGGAGCTCTTCCGACTAGGAGTGCGCCCCAGCAAATCGACACTCAAAGTCCACAGCGGAACTCACAGAGCCATCAGCTCCGTCATAACGCAGATGCGTACAGGCAAGATCGGATTACGCGCCTACTTGAACGGTATCAACAGAGCCGACACAGACCAGTGCCAGTGCGGACACGGGCCGCAAACGGTGAGGCATATCCTCCTGGAATGTAGAGAGTGGGTGGAGGAACGGGAGCAGATGTGGGCAGGCAAGCAACCGTGTATGGACGTCAAGCGCATACTCTGCAGCCCAGCCATGGCAGTACAAGCAGCAAAGATGATGATCAGGACAGGGCTGCTGGAGCAATTCCGGGCAGTGCCGTCCACGGTACTCGAATATGTATAATCAATGAGTGAGATCAGTAGACAGAAGTGAAGGAGGGCCGGGAAGGGCCTGACAAGTGCGCAGACACAGAACTGACAGGAAGACTGTAAATAGCGGGGATCCGAACTCAAGCAGGCAGGGAAGCAGTTCTCTCCAGAGATAGTTTGTTTGACAGACGAGCAAATCTCTACAGAGAGGGCTGGGTCCCGAAAGCAAGAGAGAGGAGCCGATATTTTTAGTTGTACGCTGCATAGCCGCCTACGGCGGCTGGGACAGTCTATGAATTAAAAAAAAAAAAAAAAAAAAAAAAAAACATTTGGTCCCTGGACTCGCCCCACAGACAACAGCCAAAGGATGGTTGGGTCCCACGACGCACGACATGCCCCGCAGCTGATTGTAGCCATGGAACAGTTCAGTCCCATGGACCCGTTTTGACCCAAAGCCGCTTGAGCTTAAGCTGACTTCACATGGTTGGCCTTCGGTGGGCCAAGCAGCACGGAAAACTGGCCTGATTACAGTAGCTCCTGTCTTCCCGCTGTGCTCTAGTTCTCCGACCTCGCAACCCCTTCCCGCGCGACTTTCGGTCTCATTGGTAGCGACCTTGTCCCGGGCTGCTTTGGAAAGTGGCTGCGAAAGGCAAAAGTTCGAACGGTGGCTGGCAATTCAAGAAGCGCTGGATATAGAAAAAGGCGCTGGATATAGAAAAAGCGCTCCGCGGTGCAACGTAAAAAGTGAGGCCACACGAACGGACTTCAGCATGGAGCCACTGAGATGACAATGAGCATTCTCTAAGCTTAATAGCAGGGATGCCTTTGGCACTGTGTCTTGAAACCTAAATGTGGCCCAATAGCGACAGTCATTGTCACGGCTGGCATGGAACTTTTTCATCAAATCTCGAGTGCAACTCATTCTTTGAATGCAGGCACGTTCATCAGCCTTATCAGGGCTTGTGGAGACGGTATGGCATGAGAAGCTGACACAGACTGAGGATCAAGTCGCAGCAAGACATCTCAAATTGAGCAACTCACGCTGTCGGCACTACGCTGCTATCTACAACCTCGGCTGCCCCCTTGAACATCTGGTCATTTTGAATCAGACGTTGGACAGATCTAGTCGATCGATCAAGGCTATGCAGATAATCTTGATGTCACTCGCTCGATACAAAGAGAGTCGCCGCTGTTTCCTGAAAATGACCTCCGGTAGAGTTTTGTTGAGGATTGGAGGTGAAGTAGGCCGTGATTATCTTTGAAAATCGGGCACACGATGCACTTCCTGTGGGGTTTCCGCAAAACCCAGGCCCATCACGGACACGGCCGCCGAGGTAATTCTGGTGCTATGATCTTGTATCCTACCCTGACTTTGACCTTGAAATCTCAGCAACCCCCGTGTGTTATTTGCTACGGTGACATAGCCTTTATCCAATCACTAATAACATCGTTCGGAGATGTCTCAGCTAGACCATAGCCACGAATGGCCTGCTGACGTGCCACATTGGCCGGGCCAAGCTTCTGCTCGAAATGCTTCGACTCTCGTGTTCGAGTCTGATGGCGATTCAAGATTGGGGGGATCCATAACCTCAGCGGTTTCCGCTTTTGCCGTTTCTGGATACTATCCGCCATTTTCGTAAGAGTCGTGACTGTGGAGTGGAAATGCCTCGACAAAGTTCTGGTAATAAGAAAGTAACGGACAGAAAAAAAATACAGGCGAGGTCAGTGCACAATGCACTGATACCAATATACCGTAAAAGCTGAGACTTGCAAGTCTGAAATCTATAGGGCGAATAGCAGTGGTACTGATTTAAGTGAGAGAATTCAAAGTGATATATTGGGATGCTACTGTTGTCCGCTTAGGGAGGTGGGTGACTCTGATATGTCTGGTGCTGTATACTTATAACAGCATTACTAACCAAAGCATTTTTCTGCGGTTGGACAACTTTATTGTGCATTATTTGCCTATTTACCAGCGACATCATGGTGAGAACACGTGGTCTGACATCCACTACTATGCAGCTTCAGATTCGGCACTTGAGTGCAGAGAGTTTAGTTGTGGATCCGAGATGTTGTGTATCCCTGCCTCGGTTTAGTCCTATTTATACCGATAATTGAAGCTTGTGGGGTGTTGAGAATAGGCCGTCTCGTTTCAAATCAATGTACATATTTGGTCATTGAGACTACATAATTGACCTTTGTGTGACGTATTGGCACTATTTTGGAGCGGCTAGAATGGAAACGAAAATATTGAGACCTCTATGTAACTTAGAGACACGCACGAATTTTCCCTAAATGGCTCTTGCTATTGGTAGATAAAAGACTGACCAGACTCTCAATTCGAACTTAAGCACTAACATCATCTGGAAACCCTCATTGAAGACCTAACACAGTCGAAGGCGCACCAGTCGCAAAGCCAAACTGATATCTAGTCAATCCATGCTATTCTGTACTACTCCCTCAATTTAATCACACCTTGCCAGAGCGGCAGCAGCACCCCTACAGTATACGGTGCCTCACTCGAAAGTCCTTAGCAGTCAGGCAGAATTTTGGTATTAGTGTGATGGAGAAGAGAAAGAACGACCCCCGAACTGTATATAATAATGTTCGCATCAAACAGCTGTTTCTGTCCCGGGACAACTCGCTCTTCCTTTATGACACTCTTCATGACGAGGCATCACGGCAGCGCTGCCAATTCCAGCATGGGAATCGAGAGCCTGGAAAGATAAGACCTCGGAGTGGCAAAGCGTTGATCATGGCGCTGGATATGGCAGACGAGAAAATCATTTTCCCAGTCGCGTTGCCTGAGACCACGCATAAAGCCTGATTGGAGCGGCCCTACTTGCACTACTGGATCTTTAGGCCGCTGTGGAAGATTTTATGAAATGTTGGCTACAGCATCGATACCTTGCTAGGCTACGCAAGGCGGAGAAGGCTGGGCGGGAGTAGGCGCTTGAGGAACGGTAAACGGGTGCTACCGAGGAAGGTAGCAGAATCTGCGATTAAATGGCGAGAGGAGTGACAAGGCAGCTCCACGCGATCTCAAAGTAACGCAGTTGATGGAAGAAACGCTACCAAGCTTGAGTCTGCTTCAGTGAAAAGGTATTCTTAGCTCTCCTCGTTGGCGTTGTCGTGATTGTACGGTCATGCAGAAGTGAGACTCGCCCGAACGGAGAACTCATGCCTGTGAATGTAGAATCTGCACGCACCTGTAAACCGTTGATTTCCTTGTCACTTTCTTTATGTTGTGAACGGTCTTGAGCGGCAGGTGCAACTGCGGTCGGGCCATAGAATACCTTTCAAGCCTGCCCGTGTGCCCCGAAGCTTCCGTCCCCTCCACCATCAGCTACACATGTTTCCTCCTCCTCCTCACCGCAGATACCTGCTAGTGTGTGGGCGCCGGCCGGAGGGCCGCTTGGCCAAAGTCAATCACCATGACCCGCCCGCGCTCCACGTTCCACAGCAGGTTGGCGTCGCACAGGTCCCCGTGGTTCACACCCGCCGCCCACACTGCCCCCGACGAGCGACGCCTCTGCACCTCCAGCTCCCCCGCCTCCATGCCCGCCTCCGCCGCTCTCTCGCCGCCCCACGACATGAGCATCATATGCACCACCCTCCTCGCCCCCGGTAGCACGTAGCCCCAATCCGGGTGCACGAGGTCCAGGTGCACAGGCACCACCCAGCCCTCGAGCGTCGCCAGCCGCGCGTAGACCTGGCACTCGTGCTGCAGTCGCTCCAGACCATCCACCAGTGTCCCCTTGCTGACAAAGGTGCAGCCTTGGTAGGGATTGTTGCGCAGCTGCGTGCTGACCAGGCGTATGAACTCGTCGGCCGTGATAGGGTGCCGTGGGCTGCCTCCAGCCGCGACACGATGCGCGAGCACATTCGGGCAGCCGTCGTCGAGGGCCAAGTCCCTCTTGAGGCCGAGCAGGCACGACTGCGAGCAATATTGCCGGGTAGGCGCCGACTGGCGCATCTCCTCTTCCTCAGAGCTGCTATCGGAGCTGCTATGCGATGGGCCGCCCTTCCGCTTCTCCACCGGCCTTGTCCACGGCGGCGGCAAGCCATCTTCCGACAGCCATTGTCCCAGCTGCCCACCACGACGACCTGTACATCTTTGACGTAGGGGAATGTGGCCGGGAAATGGCGCGCTTCCACTTCCGCTGTGGCCACGGCCTCCCCAGCCATGACTGTAGCTACAGCTTGCCGTTGCAGCTCGAAGACGATTGACTCTACATTCGACATGGACTCGAGCCAATGGGTCACTGCACTATCTCTAGTCGTCTCACTTGAACCCTACGTCTACATTTTCAAACCGACAGTCTGAACAGCAGCCTTCTTATACATCGCCCGTCTATACACGACCTCCATGCCACGACGCTCCGATACGGCAAAACCGCCCGCCCGACAGATCAAGACGACTCCTCCGCGATTGAAACGTGGTTGGACGGCGTACGGCACACACGGTCCTCCGCAAGCGCTACATGAGACGGGAGTGCCGAATAGGACGACTCAGCGTTCTGCTACACCCTCATTCGCCATGCCGCGGAATGAGGAACACGATGGGGTCGTCGATAAGAATGAAGAGCTGGCTGATGCCTTGGTGCCTCTCGTGGACGGGATAGCCGAAGAAATACGTCTAAAACTGCAGGCTGACGCGAATTCGATGGAGGCGAAGAAGGCTCAGCATGAAAAGCAGCTGTTGGCCCTGTCAAGTCGGGTGAATGCAGAGCTTGAAGCGACCAAAGTTTCAATAGTCAAAGAGCTGTACGATGCATACGAACGGTTCAAAACCCGGACGATGTTGTGGAGCTCGGATGCACCACCTAGCCTTGCGAGTTTGGATCCGAGAGTGGCAGGTGGCCCGACCTCATCGTCGCAGCGGGTGTCGATCATGCCAATCGACGAGCCACTCCAACAAAAGGCTGTCGAGTTTGTCGCAAGTACTACATCATTCTCAGCGGTCGTCTTTTACGATCCCGTACGGCAGAAGATGGACGCTGTCATGCATCTTCCATCTGGCCAAGCGCTTCCGGACGTGAACCGTGTGGTGTGTATTCTTTACTTGTCTAGAGCTCCACGACTGACGAATGCTAGTTGAAAAGTATGTCTTCTCAGATCGACGAGTTCTCCAGTCGAGGCAACGATGTGTAAAGCCTGACAACACTCACCTATTCAAACCATCATGTCAAAGGCCTGGTCAACAGGTCCAAGTTGCCGGCAACCTGGGGACAGACTCATTCAACGGGGACTGGTCTGCCACAAGACAACTACCTCATGCGGCTAGCCCAACAGGCAGACGATCATAGCCGCTGCCTGGAATCGGAAAGCGTGATGCTTGAACTTCAATTCGTCGATGACGCCGCACTGGCTTCTAGGGCTCGCCACGGATCTGAGACGTGGATATAGGACCTAATGACTGGTGTTCTGTTATTGAAACTACCACTCTGTGTGGTGTGGTTCATTAGTACGACCAAACGGCTTGGTACATTTGACACGTCGCAACTTTAGCCTCACTTATTTCGGATAGATGTATCGGAAGCATGGTCAAGATCAACATAATCGCCATAGAATAACACGGAAGATCCACATAATACATTTGTACGCGTAAGGTTCAGGTTGCTAGCCGGCCCCTAGCCACCGCATAATTAGGCCTTGATATCTAGCCCGTCGACTTCGGACGAGAATTTATGTATATATTGACAATGGTTATTAGAGACTCGAGCCAGTTGATGATATCCGCTGCCCCTCCACCTTCAAGCGTCCTATGTCAAGACCCATGTGTGTACGTTGCTGTGAGTTTACGCATATAGAGCTGAACTGGACCACGCAATGCAATCGGGCCTCGTGACTTGGCCAGAAATGGGTGCTTTCCCGTGTCAGCATTTCCATTGATCAATCACTGCCATGTACGCACACTCAAAGGCGGTAGTTCTCCGGCGTAGAGAATGTCAAGAAAATCAGCAGCGTCGAACGTCCAAACATGGGAACGAGGACATGCCACCTTGGCCACTTGCTCTATGTATGACACCATGAAGCGGTGCATCACGTTCCTGTGGATGATGTCGGTTGTTGGTTTGTGGCGGAAGTCAAGGACTGGGCATAGACAGTGAGCCGCGGTGGCTGAGCCGACGCAGAACATCGACACGGTTAACCGGAATCGCGTACTTAACTTGACAAGTCCAAACATGGAAATCCTTACCGAAGCGATTCGTGCATCTACTGGTGACGACAAGAGGTGCATGATTGCTGACAGTACCTGCACACGCGTGAATCTCTACTAGATGGAAAATCCTGGGGGAGAAGCGCACGAACCTGAGCAAGCACACTGGCGACTTCAGCCTCGGACGCGAGCGGGCAGATTTCCAAGAGGTCAAGATCGAGGCGTTCATAGACGATGTCTGTTGAAGTCCTATTGTAGTATAACCCTAGAAACGGTGCAACGTGTAAGTGGCGTAGGTTGACGAGACTCTCGAAATCGGTGATTGTCATGTGGGGGGCGTGCTCGACCCGCACCAGGCGGCCTCGGTCCCGCCACGGCACACCGATCCAGCCGGCTCCTGTCTGTTGAACCTTCTCACAGTCGGACTCAGGATACCCGTTGATGGTTATAAGAGGATAGGCGCGTGCTACAACGAGGTCGCAACCACGATGGAAGCCTGGCTTTCGGTGGAGAGGCATCTTGCCGTGGCGAATCAGACGATGATCATATACAGAAGGCTGATGCGTGGTAGCAGAGTTTAGTACCTCAATTGAGAATTACGTTGTATTGCCTACAAGAATGCTAGAGATAAGCTGGTGCTCTGAAGGCTTTCTAGAAATACCCTTTCAAGATCTCACAGAAGGGTCCTATCTGTACCCAAACAATTCAAACCTCAATGAATGGCTCGCGACTAGCTCTTACCGTCCCACACCTACACTGAGACTCAATTAGCTCTTCTGCCCGATATAGGCCTGGGTCAATCTAGTATGAGAATGAGAGCCAGTAGTCGAGAATAGTTTCCTTGTACACCCTAAGACTTCCCTCCGGCTCCCATGTAGGGCACTCATACCCTGCCCACTTGATCGCATAGAACAGGCGGCCATCCTCCAGCTCATGATGGCCGATAACCTCTTGTATTTCATGGTCGGTAAACTCCGCGCCGGCTTTCGGGCGCTGTCGTATTTCCTGCCAGAGGGATATCTGCCCGCCAATGTTGTAAACCCATAGGAGTTCATCACCGTTGGGTTCATCTTGAGCCGACCAGTCGAGATTCTTGACCAACACGCCGTGAAAGGCGTAGCGCGAAGCTGTCACTGTGTACAGAACGCGTAGCACGATTACATTTGAGGACCAGCTCGTTTTTACCACGTCGCCATGATGGACACTGCTATCTGACCGTGGGAGCTCCATTCGGACCTTGAGATCGCTGGATACTCTACGATACTGTATGGTAGCTAACTGAAATACAATAAGAAGCCGTACCACAACGACAGCGCTGCAGTAGAGATTTATGAACATTTGACTCGTCCAAATGTAAACCTGATATATAGTCACACGTGGGTTTTCAGGGGCTATAGCTCTGATTGTGGAGCATGCCTAGGCTTCAATGTTGGATGTTTCAATATTCTCCCTCGGGCGGTGTCCATATGTGACGGCACAAGCCATAGCAGAGCATGGCCATCCAGTTGGAGAGGTCCAACTTCAATGAGATGGCAACCTTCGCCGTTGCTGCCAACTGTCCACCTCTATTCACCTCTTTTAAACAAGACCACACTCACCATCAAGATGAAATGGAGATCGCTACTCCTAATCCTCCTGTTATATTCCAATTGTGACGCCGGCTCGAGTTCCAGTCAAGTTCGTCTTCCAATATATTCTAGACGAGCTTTTATGAATCATACGACTTCATCAAAAGAACAGTGGAGTGTGACAAGCCGTTCGACAACAGATCTAGAAGACTACACGCAGACCAGCGACGTTTCGTTTCCAGGAACGACAGACAATCCAACAAGCTCTACGGCCACCACGACTTTTGTGCATTCCTACACCGGGAACACACATACTTTTGCGCAGGACAGTGTAACGACAAAATCTACGACGACGGCGAGAACGGTTGACCATGGAAGCTATCTGAATCAGCTTTCGCGCTCTCGAGCATCGGAGTCTACCTCAGCTCTGTCGGAATCGACAGAATATTCTGGCACGGTTGATGCAACGTTGTGGATGGCTGACACCCCAGATTTCGGCAGCGTGTCATCAACATTAACTCACGCAACGACTACGGACGATCATTCCAATCATGTTGTCTCGTATGACCAGAGTGCAGCCCCATATCACCCCAGCAGATCAAGCCAAGGGTTCAGTCCTTCTCAGACAGCTTCCACTCTATCCAGATCGATTAAAGCGACCAGACAGCCAGGAAGTATCGAATCCTGCACTACGGCATCCAGCTTCGCTATAACGTCGAAGCCACTTTCAACCGACAATGGCTGGCTGATGGCTGCAGACGGCGAGACAGCTGACTTAATCCATCCGCCGCCTCGCTTGAAACTTTTCCAAGCCTATCAATGGACCTACTATCGAACCCAACTTTACAGTCTCCGCCAATAATGAGTAGCTCCTATCATAGAGTTGTATGGACATCGCGCACTATAATAAGTACTGTCGCTGGGCTGAATTTGCCGAGCAATACTATCTTGGAGTCTGATTTAGCAGCTGTCATCCATGTAATCGAGCCGGCCACCATGGCATCTCCCACCCTCATCGCTACGTCTACTAGTGAGAAGTCAAACAAAACCACTGGAGATCAGACCCAGGCATCATCCGTCTTGTTCGAGCTCGAGACGCTGGCATCACCAATACCAGAGACAATCACAGAGATTGCTAGTGCCAGGTCCTCCTCATTCAATGAGTCTGGCGATTTGACCCATTTGTCTAAAACTACAAGGTCTGCAGGATCTACCAACAACCAAGCTAATACCTCCACGCATCGTACGAATGCGGCTCCATCCTCAGCGAGTGCCACCTCGACGGCATCTGTTGTTGACGCGTTCGGCAATAGCCTTTCGCCTGACACGCAGACAGCTGTGGATCGAGGAAGAACGGCTGGAATCGCCGCCGCCACGGTGGCTGCTATTGGAGCCTGTGGCGGATTGACATATTTCATCGCGCTCAGATACAGACGCCTGCGCCAGAGGTGGTCGATTGCGAGCTCCAGCCCATCCTGGGTTGGTGTTTCACCAGTCAACGCGTCCTCCAACAGTAAACAAGCTCTACTCAGCCAGGGGTTCATCACCCGGAGCTACGGGGTCACAAGCAATGCGAGGGATTCCATGGGCCAGGAGGGAGGAACAATGCCCCTGACTCCAGCTCGGCTTATCTCGGGCCCGGTCACAACTGACAACTCCCTTGGCTGGAGCTGAGTCTACTATCGGTACAGACGAGAGAGCACGGCCAGGGGCGTGAGGCTAAGGACACTCGTATTCCTATATAACGCGAACGTTCCCCGTGCTAGGGATGCCATTTCTTCACTTTCTGCTACCGTCTCACCACCAGCTTCCACCATGATGCTCCTTGATGGTGGTTTGCTAGATGCCTCATTGACCACCATCAATTTTGGCCCGCTTGAAACCATTAAACCGATTTGCATTTCTCAAGACTGGCCTTCGACA